TTTAGTGGATTTTTGTCTTTCTGTTTGTGTATGGTTTGTATGTACTGTATTTTTTTCAATGGCTCTATTTATTTAGGTTATCAGTATTTTATTTTCAATGTGGCATGACTTAGTTGCCTTGAAACCAAACTCCCTTCACAGATCACATATATTTGCTCCCACTCAATCATTACATCTGTACCTAAATGAAGAAATGATACAGTACAAACAATAGTTAACTGTACGGGTACCAACAAGGAAGGTGAGAAAGTAAAAGGAGACAAATGGCAAAGGAATGATGTGACCTAATTGAATGATTTTATTGGCTGCCTTACTGGCCCCTAATTTATTTTATGGATTACTTGAGTACACAACTCAAATAACTAACAACCAAACAAAAATGTTCTCAAGTCAGTTAAGGGGTTTTTTTTCTATTAAATTTTAAATTATGTACCAGTGTGTTAGACCCAGTAGACAGCTGTGGTAAAAAAAAAAAGACGAGTCCTCCCAAAAATAAGTCTCTTTCTCAAGCATTATACAATGGCATCTTTTAACTTTAAGATGTTCATTGCCACTACCTTATGAATTAAGTCAAGTCAAATAGAAAAGTTGTTGAAAGGAGATTCGAGATTCATGAAAAACAGTCAGTGTCCGCATGTATGACTCCCAGTGCCAAGGAAAAAGTTTAAAATTGGTGGTTTTGTTCTGACTAAGCCAAGCTCTCTAGAGGAATAGTTGAAATTAATTCATTATGAATGAAATTTTCATTATTTAGAATACCTAATTAATTTATAAAGTACTGTGTGATTAAATCTTTTAACTTAAACAATACACATAAATAATCTTAAATAAAGGATTTAGTTTTAATCATTAAATTTAAATTATTACTTTTCTAAAATTCAAATGAAAACAATAAATGTGTCTAAATCATCTTCATTACTAGATTTAAAAAAAAAAAAAATGATCTACAAAAATGGCTTAAACTAAAAAAGAAAATAAGAAAGAACAAAAAATCTATCCGTCCTAAGAAAAATTAATAAAGCAAAAATTTTAAAAAATTTAAAAAAAAATAAAAAGAATAAAACTATGAATCTATGAAATAAGAAGGAGAAAAAACAATTTAAAAAAAAAAATTCTCATACTATTATTAGTATTATTGTTATCACACCCGGCTCCGAAGCCATTTAATCTGTACAGAGCCACTCCGGGTGCTAATAGTTATTGACAACTATAGGTACCCGGGTACCTTTAGACGTACTAAAATATATATAGCTATTTACGCATTTTGGGATGTTAAGTTATTAAGTCTTCCCCCCCCCCTTGTCTTTTGTAGTTTCCTTTTCTTTTGTAGTTCCTTTTTTCTCCTGGTCCCGTATGCACGTGCTCAATAATATGCTGGGCCTGATGATATAGCGGAAATTAGTGCCGAATTAAGATTGCGGAGGCCCCTAGGCAGTCAAAATTTTATTTCCCTCTCCCATAGGAATAGCTGGGGGTGGGGGCAGCGCGGGCGTCATTTTCGGTTTATATTACATTAAGAAATGGCGTCAGTGGGCCGTCGAGCTTGCGCTCTTTATGCCCTCCCCAAAACACCCCTCCCCAACCCGGTGCCGGGCCACGGAGCGGCACGTCGGGGATGTCCCTTTGTCAGGACGGCCCCCACCCGAATCTGCTCGACCAGGTCTCCGCCGGGGGCCGTCCTAACCCACAGACACCTGGTCGGTCCGACACTGTGTTTGCACACAGTGCACACGATCGACTTTCTCAGGAGTTGGGATGGAAAAATTTACGTCCTAATATCTTTACCCACCCATCCCGGGGAAGCGTTAGACGCCCTATAAGAGGGATTCTAAAGTGGGTTTCCACAACGCAAATAATTCGCGATGCAGCTGGGACGAAACGGTTGCCTTGGAGAAGCTTCTCAGATGCATAGTAAGAATCATCGGCCAGAGGTTACCACCTTCGCCTCTCGCCTCAAATTCATTAACGGCAATTTGTAATCATGATCCCTACCCTGTCTCTGCCTATTGTTTCCAGTTGGGAAGTATCACAACTGGCAGCCCTGTAGGAGCTGTTTTATGTATGGCAGGTACCGAGCACATCCCTTGTCTGCCCACGCAGGACGCGCCCAGTAGTTTTGTCCCCAGGGTAACGCCGAGGGGGTCGGTGGCCGACGCCTCCTAATCGACAAGCCACCACAGACTTGTCAACTGGAGCCCCGGGGGATCATTTTCGGTTTAAATAAGCCTAAAATTATGAAAATCTATGTGTGTTTTTTTTTTTTTGGGGGGGGGGGGTCCTTCTCTGTAACATCAGTTAAATGAAAAAATTCGTTTTTTTTTTTTTTTTTGGGGGGGGGGGGTCCATCTCTGTAACATCAGATAAATGAAAAAATTCGTTTTTTTTTGTTTTTTTTTGTTTTTTTTTGGTTTTTTTTTTAAAGAAAAAGATTTTATCCTTCCTTATGCTACACATTTCCAGATAATAAATTGTGTGTGTGTGTAAAAAATGGAGGAGGCTGCGATTGGATAAGTAAAAGGCAATAATTTAAGTAATATACCCTACAAGGTGGGGAAGAAATGCGTGAAGTCCGTAAAGGGCGCACATGAATGTCCACAGTGATGAAAATATGAGTTACACTAGCCCTAGGCTCCCTTATAATTACTTGTTGGAATCTAAGTATACCCAGACTTGTAATATGTATTAGAAGAGCCCAAATTTCAAACTAAAACAAAATATAATTTAAAAAAAACAGCATTTGGTTTTAAGCCTTAAGCTAGTAGGCCAATTATTACATTTTTGTTGTTTTTAATAACAAACAAAATGATCACAGTAAAAAATAAAGTTTTTCTTTAAAAGTTTTTATATGATTGTATGTAGAAAGTTTTGTGCTACTACGTGCATCGACGCAGATTTATAATAATTGTAAATAAAATATTAATGTAAAGAATAAGATACATAAACTGATGTTTAGGTTCAACGTCGTTTAGTGGTGTTCGGCTCACAATCATATATCAATATACGGAATAGAAGCATATTTAATACCAGTTGGTAATTTATAGCAAAACTATTTGGAGGCTGATAAATACAGTGACTTTTTTTTTTTTACATCATTGATAAATAAATTTAAACATAATTTTATTTTTTAATTACACCTCGTTCTTTTTCAAAGTATTCACAATATATTATCGCTGAAACTCACTAAATTAAATTTGCATTTGTTGTTTTTTATGGGTTTTATAGGATTTTCTATTCTCTGGCTTACTCGATTTTTTGTTAACAAGGAAAATGACTATGCTTGGGGTAAGGAGACTTTCTGCATTGTTTAGAAATATTCGGAACTTATGGTTTCCATTTAACTTTACTATATAATTTAAACGTATCACATCTGTAAATAATTATTTATTTACTTTCGTTTAATGCATAAAAAGTGACACTAACGTAATACTCAAAATTAAGAGACTTACTCGGCGACGACAGTAGACAGCAGAGTAGACTCCAGTCCAGTGAATGTTGACAGTTGTTTATTCACTACTGTTTACTGTCAGTGTCGCTGACTACTCTGTGTTTAGGCTACAGGCTAGTGTAGGTAGAAGTAAACTAAAATCTGTTAGTGTAGTGTAGATCAGGGGGTCATAAACTATTTTTTTCACAAGGGCAAAAGAGATCTTGTGGGGCTATAGGCTACTAGACTATAGTATAAGTATAAGTTTAAGTATAAGTCTAGGCTATGGCCCCATCCATGGGGGCTGGATTATACTGGATGGATTGTGATAAAATCAAGTTGGCCTAGGCCTAATTAAATCAATCAATTGTATGTAGTATTAGTATGTTCAGAATAAACCACAAGCCACATTTTTAAAACTTCAAAGGATTATTTGAAGGTTGGTGGGTAGGGTGATATCACATCTTTTATACTTATACTAGTAATTACTAGTTAAGGCTGGTTTTGAGTTAGCGGTAAGGCCGATGATTTGTTCCATGAAGGTTCCCCCAGGTCAAATTTCCGTCTACAGTTTACAGTGCCATACTAAAAAGATTTCGATGTTTGTATTTACATAATGCAAGTTATTGTTTTTCTTATCTTATATTTGTTGTTAAATTGGGGAGGGCTCCCCTCCCCAGAGAATTTCTATGTTTCTTATTTTGGTATTCAAAGTGAGTGGAGGGGTTTGGGGAGGTGAGAATTCCTAGAAGATCATTCCAAATGCAATTTAAGTAAAGCAGTAGTCTTCCCTTTGTTACCTAAGTTTCAACATATGGGTATTTTGATTTCAATTAATCAGAATACAGCAGTTTTGGTGGGCGTCTTTTTTTCACCGGTGTTGGGTCTTGGGGTATCAGCAAAGATGTGTTTCTTTTCTTTTGAAACGTGTAAGTTGAATTTTAATACAGATTATTGAAACATTTTATTTCAATATACTTCATATTAACTGTATCGTTTAAAATGCAACTAAATGCTCAGTAAAGAACAGGAATGTTAATTATAACACACATCATTCGGGTCCTTCAAAGAAAAGATCTATTCACCCTAAGTCCAGTGTTGGGATTCCCCAATGTGATGTTACTGCGCTTAGGGTGAGAAAACTCTTGGCAAACTGATACTATTAACTCAAAATTTACCCTAGTTAATTGTTAATGATGCAGCCAAATAAAGTATGAAGGCCTTAAAGTTAAAGTTAAACAGATCACATACAATAGTCTACTCTGTCTGAAAGGTGCAGAGATCTAGTGAATAGTCTTAACCTAATGATATTTCGTAAACATTAAAAAATACCAAAGTATACTTAATTTCTTTTTTCCTTTTGATCTTACACTTTACACAAAGTTAAGTTGGCCCCTATGTTTAATTAAAATTTTTAGGTACATAGTTGGAAGGAATTCTATAATTATATTATTTTCTTTAAAGCAACAAGGGCAGTGCAAATTTGATGAGAAATGGCCTTCTATGAGACCCACAGTTCTGAAACTGCTCAGACAAGAATCAGTACCTAGACAAGAATGGCATGATTTATTTTGGTAATACTTTCCTTTATGGATTTTTTTCTACTTTAAATGAAATTTCTGTTAATATTACTATATTTTTTTTCAAAAATATTTAATAAGATTATATTTAATAGAAGTTTTATAAATGCCCTTGTAAATCTTATATAATGTGAATTTTGTCTATTGCTTCTAATGGCAGTTAAGAGTTTAATTTCATTTAACAGTCACCAAAATGAAAATGATCCAGAGTTATATTTTTTTTTAAAATAAGCATTTTTATCTTTTACTGAAAATAGAAAGTGAAAAAATCTTTCTTTAAAGATATCGTAAGTGCTATTACAGTGTTTGTTACAAATAATAATAACAAGTTTTTAATTTGAAAAGCAACAAACTCTAAATTTATATGAAATGTTCTTTTTTACCGTCATTGCAGGGCTAAGTGAAATAAACTTAATGATGGGTTAACTTATTACATTTTCTATATCATACTTTATTTATGTAGGTCTATATTTAAAATTAATATTGAAAATGTAATAATTTAACCCGTTATTATGTTAATTTTTTTAATATGCCATGTACAAATAATTTTCATACCTAATGTCTATTTATACCATCATTAAATTCACTAGCATGCCTGATTAGTCACCTGTCTACTTTTATAGGTTAACCGTAATTTGTGTCCCATTTTAAGGTTATTCCATTGCAATGTATTATTTAATAAATGGAAATATTTGCATTAGTTAAATCAATCAACATTTGCTGAAAAATTCCATTTCAGCGTTTTGAGGTATGAGATATGATTTTATCAAAAGTGGTGGTTTGGGGGTGGGGGTCGTTTAAATGCTATGAGATTATAATTAGAATCAAAACTCATTTAATTGATTTCATTAACAATTATTTGTAAAGTTTTCAGCTAAAATTGTGTGAGCTGACTGGGTTATGAATATATGTATGGACATAATTTTATATTTATTTAATGTACACAGACATTTTTTGTCATGTTTTGTATTTGATATTTGTTAAAAATAAATTATTATTACTTTCATCATTAGGTATGTGCATTCTGTTTGTATGTGGGATGAAAAAGAAGGCCCAACTCACATTTATGAAGCACTAGAGAAGGATATTCTTGAATTCATTAAACAAGCTCAGAGCGTAAGTAGGAATGTCTGATTTGATTTAATATGCAATTTGACAATATAAAGTTATACTTGCAAAGGGTCATTCATGAATGATGTTGGGCAATTTTATACATCATTTTATTATATTGTTAAATATATACAAATTAATTTGTCTAAATATTAGGAAAAGATTTTAATCCTGAAGCTCTTAAAAGTCCAATATAAACTGCTTAAAGCCTAGAGGTCTATTTAAAGATTAAGATATGATAATGTTGAAGGTCAGTCACCGTATTTTTGGAAAGAAAATGTGTAATATTATAATAAGAATCACTTTGGTGTTATAAGAATCACTTTGGTGTTCTAAAGAAACAAAAACTAATAAGCAACAAAATACTTGTCTGTCTTATTGGTGATTCAGCTTTTCTTCTAACCTTTGTATTAGCTAAAACTTGTAGCAAGTACATTAAAATCTCTTTGGTAGCTGGCTAACGAAACTTAAAAAGCAAAGCCACTGAATCACTTTTCGATTTATTACAAACACAGTTCTATATTTTAGGCAGCTGTAAAAAACAGCAGAGAAGCATTACTCAAGTATTAAATTTCATAATGTTGTTGGTGGAAAAATAAAAAGAAATTAGTGTAAAATAAACTAGATGATTTTTTTAATATAGCTGATTAACTGTTATCTCTTTCTTGCTTTTAATCTTGCGTTTCTAAAACTTTTGTATTCTTCGTGACCAACTAAAATTTTGTCATTTATACCTTTATAGTGTAAAGCAGATTTGAATGTCTTAATAGTTTTTATATATTATGATAAATACCCATATACTCTTACTAACTAAAACTTTTAGCGGTGATTATAAAAATTTGATAACTTAATTCTATCATCAGTTGTAATGTTGTATTTTCAAAATTGTATCACGCAAAACAGATAGGTTTATCATTTTCTGATATGTTTAAACTTTCGAGTTGGAAGGAAGAAAAACAACAGTCTTGTAAGGGAACGAATGCAACTTCTTGGATAGTAACTGCGATCTCCACAAGTTTACTCTTCACTCTGTGATTTGAGGGCTCCAGCAGAACTAGCTCTTCTCATCCTGTTCTTATCAATTTTATTTTTGAATCTCTTAATTTCGCAGCAATGATGTGGGAACATTTCAGCAATTGAGGTTAATCTTTCACCATGAGAAGTCAATACAAGGTTTTCAGATGGAATGCTTTTAGAAAATTCAAAGAAATTTCCTTTTTTTGCACGCTTTATTTATGAAAAGTTCATCTGGCTTACTAATGAACTTACTGATATTGTTACCCATTATCAATTGTTAAATTAAACATTAGTAAGCGCAAAAGAAAAAAAAATCCTCTATCTGAATACTAATACTGACTTGGCGAACTGGTTGCAGAAAATTTCTTCTAAATGTTTATTATTGTAGACAATTTTTGTTTATAATCTAAAACATTTTATCACTTATCTAAAACTTATTGTTGTAGGTATAAGAAATGGTTTACATATTTTTTAATTTTGTTTTATTTACTTAGAGATTTTTGTGATTTTTTAAAATTTTTGCCAGAGAGTTCTTCAGCATAGAGAAGAGTCAGCTCTACTTCGTGCATATATAGCAGAATGGGGGAAATTTTTTACTCAGTGTGACTATCTTCCAAAGCCTTTCACTCAGTTGGAAGCTAATCTTATGGGAAAGTTGCATAGTAGCATGCCAAAAAAATCTCAGGCACCTGATGAAAGTCTAGTCAGAAAGGTTTGAATGTCAATTATTTGTCAACATAGCTCATTCTTCTCTGTTTTCATGTTTTAAAGTGAGAGAACTAATGCTTGCAAATTCAATTTTTAACTGAAAATCCTATTGAATTAGTAGAATTATACATTTTTCTTATTTTTTTAAACTCATGAAGGCAAATTCAGAACCATGAGCAAATTTTTCTACTTTGGATTTAGTTTTAAAAAGCAATCAATTAAGATTTCTAAAATTTATTTAGTTTGATCAGCTGGTATAATGAATATTTTGAACCCAGAAAATTAGTGAGATTGACAGAGTTCTTTTAATTTAATTTTTCAGTTGATGTTGGACAGTTGGAATTCAAGTATATTTTCCAACATTAAAGACAAACTGCAATATAGTGCAATGAAACTTGTCCATGCAGAGCGGCATGGTGAAGCTTTTGATACCCAACTCGTTATCGGAGTTCGGGAATCTTATGGTTAGTTTTGAAATGTTAAATATTTATTCTAACATGTTCAACTTCAAGCTTCTTTAGAAATTCAAATACAGATTTATCTGTTCCTTTTTTTTTTTTTTTTATAAATTATACATTATTTTGTCAGATATCCACTTAATTATTATTATGTGTATTGATTATCCCTTATTTCAAGCAAGAAATAATAGGAATTTCTACAAGTTTTACTATAATTTTTACACTAAAAATTCTTTAGAAATTCAAATACAGTTTTATCTGTTCCTTTTTTTTTTTTTTTTATAAATTATACATTATGTTGTCAGATATCCACTTAATTATTATTATGTGTAATGATTATCCCTTATTTCAAGCAAGAAATAATAGGAATTTCTACAAGTTTTACTATAATTTGTACACTAAAAAGAGTAGGGATAAAATATGCCAGACTAATGGGATGGTTAAATTTAAAACTTAATGGAATTTATGGTTAAAAACCTTTTAAATCACTATAATTTACCTAAATTATAAAATCTGAAAATAAATATACTGTAAAAGGTTATAAACTGAATACCTTTTTAAATTTAACATTACTTTTATTTAAATGTCCAATAGGAATAAAAAAGTTTTTTCATTCAAAAGATAATAAAAAACATTTAAATAATTGTAAAGAAATTAAAAAAGTTCATCACTGATAATTTGGTGCAATCAAATTTTTTCCAAATTTAAAAATAAAAAAAGTGTACCTTTGATTTATCATTAGTTAATTCAAATGCATATGTTTTATCCTGAAGTCAGGGAATTTACAAATAAAAGCCAAACTATGGCCCTGTTATAATTCCAAATTAACTTTTAATGTACTCATATGTTGTGTTGTTTACAGTCAATCTTAGCTCAGACACAGAAGATAAACTTAAGATTTACTGTGAAAACTTTGAAAAGGCTTACCTTGAAGCTGCTGAAAACTTCTATAAGCAGAATGCTCCCACTTACTTAGAACAGAATGGTGTGCAAAATTACATGAGGTATGCAGATAACAAGCTTAAAGAAGAAGAAGCAAGGGCTAAACGGTATTTAGAGACTGGCTATGGGTGCAACTCTGTCAATAGTGTAAGTTATTCTTGTGTAAACTAGTCTTAATGTTTTAAAATAAATGTGGGGGGAGGGGGTGAATCTAAACTATTAGCTTAAAAAAATGTAAATATGCTGTGGCATCCATGCCAACCTGTATAATTTACCTGTACTTTTTACATTTTTCTGGAATTTCAAAAGTATTTAGTGCAATATTTCAAGGATTTAGAATATATAACTATGTCAATGTTTGCACATTTGCAGCAACATTATAATTTTGTCACATTTATAGAAGACTTCAAAAGCTTTATAACATGCAAACAATACTTTGACTTTATAAATATCTTAATTTCTAGTAATTTCTCTAATTGTTATACATTATGTTAATTTCCTTTTTTACGGCAGCATTAGATTGTACACTAGGTTTATTATTATTGTGTGTATTTAAATTACTTGTGCATATTTCAGCAATTGAGGCTTTAGAGATTTATAGTGCCATCAGTTTTAACTGCTTCAATATTGTAATTTATGCTAAAAGTTGTGACTTGGACATTTAAAATAGTTCTAACATTAAAAAATACTAATTGCTTCCTTCTTATTCTATTTCCAGTTGATAGATTGCTGTGTTCGAGCTTTAGTAACTAGTTTCAAAGACACAATTCTTGCTGAATGTGCTAGTATGATTAAAAATAATGAAACTGAAAGTAAGTTTAGTTTTTACATTGAAATGATTACAAATAAATGTCATGATTTTAATTGTTGAGCGTTCAATAGTAAAATATATTATTATTTTCTTGAGCCAGACGATAAAGAAGGATGTTGACAGTGGGTCACAAGTATTTATATTTGGAAATGTTAGATGTAGATCATTTAAATTGCACAGTTCATGAAATATGCATTTTAATAACTGTGCAAATCAGTGCTTTACAAAGTTTTCAACTTGGTGACACTTTTTGTACATTCACCATTTCAGGAAAGTCATTCAGATTTCCTATTGAGGGTGGGTTGGGGAAAAAATGGTGGGGGATGTTACCCATTTTCACATATGGAGACACAAACATAAAGAAATGTATGGTGAGACAAAATTTCTCATGAAACACTTTTAATCCTTTTTTAAAAAACATTATTTGTTTGATAATAAAATAAGTTTCCAAAATTAATTTACTTGCTATTTATGAGTTATGAGGGGATACAGAGTGACCTTGCATATGCCATGTGACTTACATGCCATGCTGATTGGCTTGTTTGTCTTAAAAATCTGTGAATGTTGGTATAGTTTATTTTTGTGCAACACTCACCATTCCGCTAACACACAGTTTAGAAAGCACTAGCAGAAATACTCAGTCTGATTAAAGCTTGTATAAACTATGTCAGGCTGCATTTTCAGACTTGACAATGAATTATAAGGTTTAAAAAGGAGAAGAAAAGAAAAAAGAATGAAATTAGATTTACAATATTTTTTTAAGGTCCTGATAATTGTGCAAAAGGTGTGTATTACATTATCTGTATACATAAAGTGCTGATCCCATAAGGAGAACCTGCTATAATGAATAATGCCATCATTGAGGATCATTTAATTGGACTGCATTTGACTTTCAAATTTCTACAACCACGCCATGATCGTATTATATTTAATTTATATACAAGTTCATCTAAGAGTCTTGCAAGCCTGAGCTGCCTTATGGCTACGATCCCATGTCTAATAACTAAGAGACAACCCCAACAGACCATGAAAATTCCAATAACTCCTGCAATGACCCTAGTGGTAATCTGTATCATCCACTTAATTTTCATTTGGGATCACCATGCACATGTGGAGAGGGGATCTGCTGACAGGGAACCAGCTTATTGTCCTAACAAAATGCCAGGTCTTGTGATTTTGTCAGTGAAAACCAGACCATTATCTCATTGAGACAGATTTATTGTCTTTTCGTCATTTGCTAAGTCGAGGCACATTCAGATGAATAAATTTTCATTGTTCCATTTTATTTTTAGAGCTTAGGCTCATGTTCAGCTTGATGGACAGAGTAACTGATGGCATTCAGCCTATGCTGCAAGATCTTGAAAATCATATCGTCAACCAGGGACTGGCTGATATGATGTCAGCTGCTGAGACAATAACAACAGTAAGTTGAATCACATTTTATGATGAATTTGTGGAATACATTTTTGAGACCAAAGAATGGTCCCCTTGTACCATACACTGAATGTGCAAAACAGAGGGGAAAAATAAAAAATTTGTCAATTTTAAGACATTGGTTCAAATAGTTTTAACAAATTATAACTCTAGAACTAGAACCTTAAAGGTTGTGTTTATATTGGAACAGCTTGGTCAGCTGTAGAACCCTTAGCTGGTATTTTTATTGGTTGAGCGTAGTTAAAATTAAACATTTAATGTCAATAATACGTTTTTTTTATGAGATATTAGGTAAACTGAAGGTATATTTTAATTTTGTTTTATTTTGAAATGGCTGAAGCTCACATTAAAATGTAGGATCTGCTTCGTTTATTACAAACAATTAAAGTCTTCAACCGCTGCTATTATTAGACGTAATGATTTTAAAAATTTAACTTAACCTATCTTTCTGATTTAAAATTTCTTTAGGACTCGGAAAAATATGTAGAACAGCTCCTAGAACTTTTTAATCGATTTAGTCAGTTAGTTTCTGATGCCTTCAATGATGATCCCAGATTTTTAACTTCAAGAGATAAGGTAAGGGGTTTTAAAATTGTTTTTAAAATTCACAATATATTTATTAAAGTTACAGCAATTCAACTTTTAATTCCTAAATGTAACTGCAGATATAATTAACTTATTCATGATCTGTTATAAGTGTATTAATCTACTTGTTGCTATAGCTGCAGTTGATACTGTCACCTTTTTAGATTGTGTGAAATATAAATAAACACTTAAAAGGTTGTGGATCACAATTAGATTATGACTAGAGTCAAAATATTTTGTGTCTAATAGAAATGTTTGTAGTTTCAAGATATCTTTGTTTTATTCAGTTTCTAAACTAATTATTTTGTTTGTCAATTTCAGGCTTATAAAACTGTGGTAAATGATACATCAGTATTTAAACTTGAAATACCTGTAAAAAATAAAGGGTAAGTGTTTGGTTAAAAATGTTTTTGACAGTTACCAATTTCTTTTTTGCATAGAGAAAGAATTAAATGTTAAATTTATTGCAACTTCCAGATTAATAGTACTAAGTGACTTAACTCCAAAATGTTAACAATTGAATCTAAGATTCTTGAGAGAGTTGTGTCACAGCAGCTTGTGCAGCATCTAAACACTTACGACTTACTTGACAAGTTTCAATCTGCATATCGACCTGGGCACAGCTGTGAGGCAGCACTACTCCGTGTTATGAATGATGTTCTTTGTAGTGCTGACCGTGGCGATCTAACAATTTTGGTTCTGTTGGATCTCAGTGCTGCCTTTGATGTGATCGACCATGAGCTTCTTCTGTCAAGACTTCTGAATGTGGCAGGCATTACTGGAAATCCACTTCGCTGGTTTTCTTCTTATCTGACTGAAAGGACTCAGCGTATTGTAGTGAAGCAGGCATCTTCCATGGACACTTCCGTTACCTGTGGTGTGCCACAGGGCTCAGTTTTAGGACCTATTCTGTTCTCCATGTACACTAGCCACCTGGGCAAAATTATTGAAAGTCATCATATTTCCTGCAAAATATTTGCAAACAACACAGAACTATACAAGTGTTTCCGCCCTGATCCCTTGGAGTGTGCTACTGCTGTTCAGGCTATCAAGGACTGCTGTCTTGCTGTGAAAGATTGGATGTCATCAAACAGACTAAAATTAAATGATGATAAGACTGAGGCAATTATTTGTGGTTCAGACGCCAATCTTCGGAAAGTTAGTTATCCTCGACTGTCAGAGATCTTGGTTTTTATATTGACAGTAAACTTAGTATGAGTCCCCATATCAGTTCTGTTGTCAATGCATGCTTCTGTCATCTGCGTGCCCTGGGTCAGGTACGTCCTCAACTCTATAGGAGAACAGCCAATGCTGTAGCAGTAACTCTAATTAAGATTAGATTACTGTAATAGTTGTTTGTGGGGTTTACCTCAGAACCAAATTCAGAGACTCCAAAATATACAAAATACTGCAGCACGCATTGTATCGCGGATGAAAAAATCTGACCACATCACCCCAGTTCTACGAGATCTCCATTGGGTTCCTGTGAGTGAGCACATTAACTACAAAATTCTGTCCCTGGCTTACAGCTTCATAGATGGCTGAGCACCGGAATATCTCAAGGAAATGATTTATAAACATGTATTCATGAAGAGCCTGCGGTCTTCAACACAGTACTTGCTGAGTGTTCCTAGTGTGGATAAACACAGAAAAAAAGTCTTACTGAGTGCACTCTTTTGAAATGATAGCGCCAAAATTATGGAACAGTTGGCCTCAATCTTTGAGGGGAATTGTAAATGATAAAAAATCATTTAAGAAACAATTAAAAACTTTTTTGTTTAAATAGATTTCGGAGGACTAGATAGCAGTGAGCATGCTAAAATGGCATGGGGACCGGCGTGATATAAATATCAAATCAATCAAACAACAGGGAGCGCATTGTATCTATGAAACACAAGTGATGTAAATAGTGTCCCTTTGAATGGATATTAGCATAATTGGACATACAATCCACAAGATTAACAGATCACATTATAAGTGTCATTGCATGTTAGGGCTTTTTTAAAATAAAAAGTTATTGGTTGGCATAATACATTGATGGCTTTAAACTGTCATTAAAAATATTTAATATCGTCATAGTCCAATATTTCCCATCTTTTTATGTTTTGCCAGAACCAAGTATTTTGTGTTAGTTATTTCTTTATTGAATGCTAAGAAGTTTATATTTGTTAGTGTAAGACTTAGTATTCATTTCTGTGGAGAGTTAATTCTTTTTAATGTTTATTATTTTGTGATATTATTCATTTGTTTTCTTTTTTTCATAAAGTACTATAATTCTGGAGCACTTAACTGTCTTCTTTTCAACAGTAGTATATTTGAAATCTCTCTGGTTTTTTCTACACTTCCATAATTTTACAATTAGTAAATTTGTTTTTTACCTCTTAGAACATGAAACAGTTTCAGATTCTTTGACTAGAAGGGAGCGTAACATTGTCTTGTCTAAACATGACAGTATTCTATTTTTTTTTTAATTAAAAAATCTATTGATGCTAATCATAGTCATAAAATAACCTTTTTATTTCTTAATTTATTTCAAAGGCTTGGGGCAAAATCACAGCCTGAATCAAAGTGCCCTGAATTGCTGGCTAATTTCTGTGATATGTTGTTGAGAAAAACCACTATTAGTAAGCGTCTGACACCAGAAGAGGTTGACAAGAAGTTAAAAAATGTTGTAAGTTTGTAGATTTTAACATTGCCCGTCTTGATAAAATATTTTTTTTGTATCTCAACTCATAAAATAGTTTGGGCTAAAGCAACCATTAGTCAACTGCAATTTAATGTTAAAAATGTGGACATAAGCATAATGTAACCGTAAAACATAATATTTTTGGCCATATGGTAAGCTGTTGGTGGATTTTTAATATCAAGAATTGCCTCCCCCATTTTTCTCCGGCCGAAAAGATATTAAGGAAAAATATTGTTATCAACAATGGGAGTCGCTTAGTCACTTCCTTGTTTGGTCACGTGATGTGAGTAAGCCATCACTAGGCTGCTACACACAACAAAAGATACTTCATGAGTGCTTCCCCAATGTCATGTTAATTAAAAATTTTACCTTTCGTAATATTATGGAATGCAAGCGTTTTTTAAATGAAATACATAAATGTGACAATAAATATACGTCAGTTATAATTAAAGGAAGAAAGTTATTTCAAGAAAAATTTGTGAGCGATATTCGATGGGAACTATCAATACTATTATCGGCAGGATGTTGTTGAGCTCCGTGCGTGCTCATGACGTCATTTGCGTTTTTATTCAATATTGATGCAGGAGTCATTCCCCTTTGTTTATTTTATTGTTAATTTTCATTGGACGAAATGTAGTGTAGTTGTAGTGTGTAGCGGGCTACTGTTGTCAAGCACTAGTGTGTTGTATACAGTATACCGGAAATCTTACTCGTTTTTACTCACATCACGTGACAAAATAATTGACTAAGCGACTCCCATTAATCATCCAGACAATATATATTGTAGTGCAAATTATATTTATCAAGAGAAACTTTTTTCCAAGAAGCTCTAATGTTGCTTAAAAGCATTAAGCTGGTCCACTACGTTGGTCTGACAGAAAATGAGCATGAGCTCAAATGATCTTTTGGCTTGTTTCAATGGTTGTCTCTTTTGAAAACCTGATAGCATAGAGGGATTATTATTTATTAAGAGAGACAAGGCTACAACCTTGACCTTAGGATGAGGAAGTGTGATTTTGTTTTCTTTGAAACGCTTGACCATTTGTTATGTTGAATTAAGAACCACCAGGCTAATGGCAGGAAGAGTGTGGGGGAAAATAAAAACAGTGAGAGGAGTAGTTGAAAATGAATTTTTTTTCTCTTTTTTTTTTACTGTTCTTAAAATTACTTTTTTTTAAAATGTTCTTGATAATTTATTTTGATAAGGGAACATAAATCATCTATAAATAAGCTACATGCTTTGTATATCTTTTTTATACCAGCTGTTGGTGCTAAAATATGTCCAAAATAAAGATGTTTTTATGCGGTATCATAAAGCCCATTTGACTAGACGACTGATCTTGGATTCTTCAGCAGACAACGAGAAAGAAGAAAATATGGTTGAGTGGCTCAGGGTAAGTAATGTTTGGTTCTTCAAGTCAAAAATGAGAATAAGTCACATTATTATTAATTACAATTTTATATAATTATTTTAAATGTTATAATGTTATGTAATTTTAAGAAGAGAAAAATGCGCTAAAAAAAATTGAAGGGGAAAAGCTTGAAATAAATTTCTTAATAGCCACAATTGAACCTTCTCATCCCGAAACTGCTGCTAACCATCATTAGTAACTAATAGACAGGCCAAACTAGTCATGGTTACAATACTTTTATATACTTGTGATTGTAGTGCTTGCCTCCTCATCCTTTTATCACTGCTTTCCTTCCCTCTTAACCAAACACTTTGCCAATTAGCGAAACACTTTGCAAAATTCATGGTCTTTTTAAACAATCATTTTCCTATAAAAGTTTCACTTTGTCAAAATCATGGTCTTTATAACCATAATTTGCACTAATTTTAACAGCTTTTCTTCTACTTTATCCCTCTGAGCCTTTGAGTAGCTGGTACTTTTTTGTCAGCCACTGCTCAAGAACTGCATATACTGGTACACACCAAAACTTCTCATGGGAGTTAAGAGAAGTCTAAGTGTTATCTTGAATTTTCTTTAAATCTTTCTTAAATGTAATTTTTTTGTTCTCCTGTTTCCCAGGCATATTCTTTTGTCAATTGACATCATCCACTGATGATTCAAAGTCATCCCAGATTTAGACCATATAAATGCTTTTTTTCATCAGATGTATTTTAAAAATATTTATATTTTTTTTGTTTTTTGTATACAAAACACATTGCCTTTTTTTAATTACACAATTATCAAGTTACTGTGTGACTTTTACAGCTCTTAAAAATGATATTTTTGAACCACTTCAACCCTGCTGTCTGGTCATTTCTGGCTCTAGTCTGGGCTCTACAACAGCACTCCTGTCTTGAAAAAACAGTGACACCAAAGTTTTTTACTGTGCTTTGTTTCTTGTTGTATTTTTATTCGCTGAAGAAGCCTCTAAGCTGAAACGTTCATATCTTGTTGTCCTGTCTACTGATTCAAGCTTAAGCATGCCTAGTTCTACCACTGTCCAAATGTATAGATATCTTCTTTAATGAATACTTCCCAGTTCTGTGCCTGTCCCAGTATAAATCTCAGTTTGGTATAAAATAATTTATACTGTCTACCTTAGATAGTCTAGTACATGTTGCTTATATCAGAAATTGGCTGGTATCAAATTCCATTTTCAATGTAACTAAGTTAGACTTTCTAACCCCTTCACACTCAAATAATATTTATTTTTGGAAATAAAAACAAATGTCTTACCCATGCCGGACGCCCCCATCGCCCATCCTAGGTATGCCACTTGTCACACCTACTTCTATTGGTCCCGGTTTCAACCTTTAAAATTGTGCTAAGCCTACTGACTTCCAAGACTTCTTTTGCTAACATGTCAAGTAAATAACATATACATGGCATATTTCTGCAGGGTTTAACATTTTTAAAAGCAAAGAGTATAACATGATTAGTCTTTGCAAGATTGATTGAGTTACAATGAAATGCTGTACTTATTCCATTCAGGATGTTGGTATGCCAGCAGATTTTGTCAATAAGTTACAAAGAATGTTCCAAGACATCAAGGTCTCAGAGGATCTGAATTACGAATTTAAAGAAGCTCATAGAAATAATAATGAGGGCATTGCAGGTAATTGACAAATAATAACATCATTAATTTTGAACTATTACAATGGACTTATAATTGAGAGAGGAAGGTCGTGAAAAGGAAAAAAAATTCCAATCAAACATTTCAACCACGTTGCAGCATAAATAAAATGTATGGGATAAGCTGGTATAAATCAGTACAGCATTATGATAAAAGGCTGTGACCTAACCAATTTAGACCTGTATTATCAGATATTGACTCTAAAAAACCAGTTCGTCATAAGAGTAACAATTATGATTTAAAGAATGTATTTTTTAACACTCCTCTTACCAATGAATTATAAATATTAAAATACTCTGTTGATAAAGTAATTAATTTTCAAAGGTGTTTCAACCCCGTAACTATTTTTAAAAAAAATACTAACTAGCTTTCCAGTGCAATTATCACACAAACACCATAGATGCGTTTAAATGTCATTCCAATTATCATCCTGCGCACAAGGATCTTCAAATAGAGAATTGTTAAAATTTCATTGTTTTTTTTTTTTGGTGCGATAAGATAGCATAGGCCAACAACAAAAAAAAAAACTTTTTTCTTTCTGCTTTGATTTTAGGCCTTTTCCTGTTATGTTCAAAATGGAGCTGGAAATGTTTCCTTTTAAATATTATTTGTATTTGTTGCAAATACGGTCCAATACCATTATTCAAACAGTATGAAAGAAGACTCAAGGCCATTTCATTAGTCTTTAAAATATCAACCACATTAACATGTGATTTTGTAGATAGGAAAATAATTGGGGTGGTTGGGGAGGGGGGATTTGGTTTACAATGTGGCTACACAAAGGTATCCTTACTTCTTATATCTTTTGGGAAAGTAGAGCTAAACATGAAAATTTTTCATGAAACCCTAGACCTCCAAGGGAAATATCTTGGTCTGAGGAATAAATGTAATCAATAAAGATTTCATATAGCACACTTTACTTATTATTATGTTTCATACTTAATAAATGACATATGGAAAATATTTCAAAAACTAAGCAGAAATCTTGTGCCATTTTTAAAACCAACCGGTCAAATATACCTAGAAATGAGTATAACATTAGAGGCATCAAAGTTTGTTTCGCCATTGTAGTATAAAAAAAGTTTGTAATGACCACTAATTTAACTATTGCAGAGTTTTTTTTAAAAATCTAACAATTATTGAACTTCAACTATTTATAAGTATTTGTTATTTTTTATTAAAAATTAAAAAAATTAGATTGTTTTGGTAATAAGGAAGCTTGCTCTAAACACTTAAGTAGAACACAGGTGTATAATGTTTTCACTTCCTTTTTTCTTGAATAAAAAAGGAGAAAAGATGTTTGATAATCTTGATGTGTATGATACGATTTTTGAAATCAATTCTAAATATAACATACTGTATCAAATAAATGTGATTAAAAAAAATGATTTTTGCAGTAGAAATATTTCAGTTGAATTGGTTTACAAAATCATTTTCTTAACTCAGAAAGTTTGCCTACAAGAATTTTAAAACATTCATTTAACATTTATTTTCCTAGATGCCATAAATATAAAAATTTTAAATGCGGGAGCTTGGGCTAGATCTAGTGAAAGAATGCCAGTATCTCTACCATTGGAATTAGAAGATTACATCCCACAGGTACTGTAATATATCTCATGAAAAAACAAAAACAATCATGTAATCTTTTTATTTATTTTTACTTAAAAATACAAACAGGATTGAGGTAATTTAAAGCAATTGATTTAATTCATTGACTTTTTTCAACAAAATGAATTTACTATTGTTTATAAATTTGATTAAAAAGTACAATGATTGGTTAAATACTTAAAAATAGACATGCTTGTTTGATATTGAATTTGCCTTGGTTAGGTTAATAGGCTAATAGGACAGGGAGGGAACTGCTATGATTTTCCCCAGATGTATTATAATTCTATTATATTTAAATTAAAAATATATTGATGGTATGAATAATTTTGTATTCTGTAAGGAAAGATACAATTTCATTTTATGATTTCTCTACTAACCTCTGCTACATCACAATAGTTTTGAAATATGATTATAATTGAACAGGTCGAGGAATTTTACAAACATAAGCACAGTGGGAGAAAGCTTCAGTGGCATCATGCTATGTCTAATGGTGTTGTAAGTTGTTTTTTTAAATTTTATCAATTACCTATGAATGATGCTTAAGTAGGTCTATTACATATTTTTACATTTATAATTTGAAAATGTCCGTATCCTTCATTTATCATTTTCTCTTCTCAGCCAACACACTGCATTTTTCAAATACTCAAACAAATCCATGGGCTTTGATTCTCACTCTTAGTTATTCTATTTAGATATATTATTAACCCATCTCTTTATCTGTCTGCCTTCATTTCACTCTTCACATATAATCATATACTTGTTTAACTGTATTAAACATCTCTGTGTGTCTCTTGTAACTTCTATATCACTCTCTTCTTTGTCTCTTTATCTCTGTCTCTTTGTTTTTAATTCATTTATTCAGTCTCTTTGTCTTATTTCAGATTTTTAGAAATAAAAATATTGTGGTTGATAAAAAATGGGTACAACTACATTGATAATCTAAATCTATTTAAATGTTAGTTTAATATTTAAATTGAACTTTTAATTTTTAAAACATATGTTCCTTAGAAATTGTGTGTAAGAATTTAAGGTATCTGAGTTGTTAAATAATTGATTACAAAGGAACTAAGCCATTAAATTAACTTAACAAAAACCAACTGTTGAAAAACAATTGGGTGGCTTATGTTAGCTACTATTTCATGACATTGATTGATGAAAAGATTATTTTATAACTTCTAAATTTTTTTCTGTGTCATTGTTAAAAAATAGATTACATTTTCTAATGATGTGGGCCGGTACGAGTTAGAGGTTACAACCTTCCAAATGGCTGTACTTTTTGCTTGGAATCAGCGACCACAAGAAAAGTTGTCATATGAAAGTCTCAAGTTGGCAACAGAACTTCCAGATAATGAGCTTCGGAAAACTCTACTGGTAATAAATCAGCTTAATTAGATGAGGGTATTAAAGAAATTGTTTCTATAAATAAATATAAACATTTTTAGTATTAGCTTTATGTGACAAATACTCCTACAGCTTAGAGGTTTCAAGAAGCATAGTAGTGTGATAGAGAAATTTTCTTTTAGAATACCTACATGAAGCTGTTCTTTAAAAATCTTGTCTAATTTTCCAATAAATGCAATCTATAAAAAACAGAGCTTTTCTATAACTTTTATCATTTCATCATAATTAAAGAAATTCACTTTGAATGGAAAAGAAATAAAACTATTCAGGCATTAGATCTGTTGTTTATGAATTCATAACAAAACCATGAAGCTGTTGTAAAGAAAGAATAACTTTAGACACTCTTCAATAATTACTCTAATTAAATGTCATATTATACCACATATTACTAATACTTAGTGATATCATAATCATACTATGTTTATTTAAATAAAAATATTTTATTATTTATTAAATTATAATGATTTTAAAAAATCTAACAAAAATCTATTTTTAATATGCTAAAAAAAGTTTATTGTTTTTTGAAAATCAACAAATTATCAATTTCAAAACCCATTACTGGAAATTCTTTTATCGTTTAATGTCCTTAGTTCTGATTTATAAATAAAACTCACTAATTTGTGAAGAACACCTACGGCAATGCATTGTTAGTCATTATTCAATATAGTATTTAATTTTCAGAATGAATTTGGCTGTGCCTTCAAATTAAAATCATAAAATATATTCCATTTTGAATTTAAAAAATATAAATTTGATAAATCTCATATTGTGTCTGCCCTATGGTTCCCAGAAATTTGTTTGAAAGAAATTTTGTTGACGGAAAATTTATAGACGGAAATTTCAATCGAATGGAAATTTGGGCGAATCTTATTTTCAGTTCACATTTTAAAATTTTTGTCAAATTTCTATTTGAACGCATTATACTATAAAGTAAAACAAAATAATGAGTTCAAAAAGAAATTTCAACGCGTTACTGCAAAATAGATTTTACCAAATTTCCGTTGATCAGTTTTCGTCGATATTTCTTTCAAACAAATTTCCAGATACGCTGCCCCATGTCTCTTGGGGATAGTTGGGTTAATGTTTAAAAATATGGCAACTTGGGTTTTAATCTCTTATTACCTTGACTGACTGAGAGATGTTTGTCCTGTTTCAAATCTTTGAGTCCTTTGGTAGATTGATAATTATAAATTAGTTTCACCTTTTTGAGTCCTTTGGCAGATTGATAGTATATAAATTAGTTTAATCTTTTTGAGTCCTTTGGCAGAATGATAGTGTATAGAACTAAAACTTAAAAAATGGCATAACTCACTGTTAAATTTTGAAATAACAAAAATTATAAGTTGTAATGATAAGACTGATGCAAATAAATTAATCCAGCAATAAAAATTTAAATAAAAGGTGGCCAAATAGTATGCAGGTACTTTACTTTTAGCAAATACAAAGAAATTATGTTCTGCAGGTTTAATGGATTGTTCTCATATCATCAAAGTAAGAGGTTTTTCTTAAAAGTTAAATCATTTATGATGAGATAATTTTAAAGTTGTATAAAACCACACGTTTACTAAATTGTAATATTTTTTTTTTAAATTTCATAGTCTCTTATGTCTTCAAAGAATAAGATACTTCTCAGCTCTCATGAAATCAAAACTTTAAGAGATTTTAGTGATAACACTGAGTTCTGGATCAATCAACAGTATGCATTCACGTAAGTTTAACCTTATAGTGCAAATTGTTTAGTTACATTTTTATTTGTTAAAATTGCTTGAATTTTTTCCATGTCTTTCAACTAATTAATATTTTTCAATATCATCTAATGCATTTTGGTTATGATACTTCCTTATTCAAGTCAGCTATTTTTAATAACAATAATTTATTTGACTTTTACTGGTACTGATGTTATATAGTATGAGAGTTATTTTTTTAAGATTAAAAAATAATTACATAAATTTTCTTAATATTAACATTTTAAATGTTATCATAATTTAGATTATTTTTATCCATTATCTTATGTTCTTATCAAATAATGTGCATCAGATTTTAATTATAACAAACTTTTATTATTTCAAATCATTCAGCAAATTTGGTAAAGCACAGAAGAGAGGAAAAACAAACCTTATTGGTAGATTACAGCTGACAACAGAAAAAAGTAGAGAAGAAGATAATGAGGGGATTATGCAGCTTAGAATACTTCGTGTTCAGGTAAAGGAGAAAAAAGTAAAAACATTTGACATGTAAACAAAGAAAATCTTGTGTTAAAATATTTTGACTGACAAAATTCCAGGGAAGAGCTAATATTTTGCTTATTAAGCTATTGAAATATCTTTTAAACAATCTGAATAATACTTCAAACCTTGAAAAATTCTGTTTGCATGCCTCTGATTGTTTTTGTGGAGGGTACCCATATGTTATGTACGCAGAAAAAGGGGAGTTCTCTGATTAAAATTTGCATAAGGGAGAATTTAGGAGGTGGGGACTAATATCTCTAAATACACTAAATGCGCTGTACACACTAAGCAGGCCTAAGGCATCTGATCCTTTGTTTTTTGGTGCTTATATTATACTACAATTTTAGATGTAAGTGCGAGCACCACTGTGGCTGCATCTGGCTGTTTAAATGAATAAATTTGGGTTTTTCTTTTAAATATGATTTTAATAATAACCACCCATACAAGGAAAAATTTAAACGTACATTTAAAGAAAAATTATTTTATTAATTTCATTTTATAAAACAAGACATTTTTCCTGTTACATCTACAAATTTCTTTCCCGCTTGAATAAAATAAAACTTGAAATTTGTTTTACAAAATGTAATCTTTGAACTACAAAATATGGCTACTATTGATTACAACATTTTAAACAAGTCAGATGATATTAAATTCATTATGTTTTTTTATGACCTCTCCATTTTCTACCAGTTGCTATGCTACTAACTTGTCAACTGATGATAAAGTACACGCTTTAATAAAAATATGAATTGATTGTTTCGGTATAATGCCAGCGGACGATATATTGCAATAGTCCAAAAACCTGTGAAAAGGAATTTGGCGGCCCTGTTTTTGTTGCAGCAAGTAGCACATGGTCACAGAAAGTTGAGAATCCATGTAAAAAATATGAACGCACCTTAAGAATTACCATTGTTGTCATATTTGCGACAATAAAAACAGGCTAATTTTCATAGCTATAATGGCAGAATGATGTGATCAACATATCAATGTGTAACAATGTGGATGAAAAAAAATGGGATAATGAATGGCTCTTATGTCATCATACCCATTTCATGAGTTTTCAGTCATAGTTCAAAGCAATCACCATTTTACCTCATTACAAGCCTTTTTACATAACAATTAGTGACACTTAGGCAGCAGTTATATTTATTTTTCATACTGGGTACTTTCAAATAATAATATTTCTGCTAAAAAAAATTTCAAGCAATCACTTTTTAATTATTCACAAATCCTATAATTGCACATTTATGAAGAGGAATTACTCTAAAGTTCAGGTTGCCAAGAAATAAAAATGGAATTTTTTTCTTTAAAAGTTATGTGGACAGTGTTTTCCATAAACAAAAGCATAAATAAGACCTTTGAATAAATTTAATTCTATCCACATAATACTTAATGTGTAATAAAAATTCCTTTCTAACAGGAGGCCATTGTCAAGATCATGAAAATGAGAAAGAAACTGACAAATGCAGCTTTACAAACAGAGCTGGTTGAAATTTTAAAAAACATGTTTTTGCCTTCCAAGAAACTTATCAAAGAACAAATTGAATGGCTTATAGAACACAAGTATATGAAAAGAGATGAAGATGATATAAACACTTTTATCTACATGGCATGAACTCGAGACTCACTGTCCTGGAAGACCAAAGAATCTTTAACTCGGATCATTTTTCAAAACTTCACCCTGATCTCTCTGATCTGTAAGAAAAGCTTAGTATGGATCCCAGTGAGAGATTTATTTAAAAAACTTGGATCACTGTGGGCCTAAGGGTACTGACTTCAAGCACAGGGCTCCATTTGGACAAAGTTAATTATATGTAATCTGTAAGCAACTATTTTTTTTTTGCCATTGATAGTTTCAATATTTATGCTTGAAATTTGTGAAACTTAAAGATAAGGGTGTCAAGACAATATTTCAACACTTTCGTGCTTTGCTTAAATTTTACAAACTTCATCTGGTTGGCAAACATTTTTTGAAAGGGCTTAATTGTTAACATATAAGTTGCTGTTGACCACTAGGGGGCCTACAGTTTATCCCTCGGCGTCCATGTTGAGACAAGAGGCAAAACAGAGGTGTCCCCCAACTGGAAAAGGGACACATGTCCTCTCATGTGTTATGCGATTTAACTTTTGAAAGCTATTAAATCCTCTTACCTTACAAGAAATTAATGATGTACCGGTATGTAACTTGGAGAGCAAATTCAATTCTTAGGAGCAGCTTGTTGAAAATTGCCCTGAGATTGGATTGATAAGAAAACATTTTAAGAAGTGATGGGGGTGTTGGAAATACTTTTGGTTACCCATGCATCTAGCCTTGCTGGCTTTTTAAAAGATATATAATGAATGCCTAGTAACATCCATACTTTGTTTTCTGGTGCCATTCAAGAAGTATTGGCAGCCAAGGGTTTGCCGACCCATCTTTGATTAGAAATTTTTATTTTTTTAAGACATTGGGAATTTAACGGATGCTGCAGGGAAAAATTAAGAAAACAATTAAACATCTTTAGAGTACATACTGAGGTTATCTTTTTTTAAAAGAGGTGTTCCTCACAACGGTCTCACGATTTAAATTTTCTTCAAAAACAAAATCCTTGCCTATAAGGGTTTGAAGCAATGTGATAAGATTTATTTATATTCAACTAATGTATCAGTTGAACTTAACTCACCCACAAAGACATATTAACAGTGTGGGCTCTAAGGTTGTGTTTTAAAATTTCATGACTTGGTCTGACTAGACATTAAAAAAAAATTTAAAATATCAACAAAATTTACAGCATATTTTGACTAACACGTGCTGTATAATTTTGTAAAAATGATTGCAATCTTGTGACACCTACATGATGAAATGAATTGTATCTTATTTAGTTATTTTTTAAAGTTTAGTAGTTATTGTTAATTTGATAGTTCATGGTAAAGTTAATCTACACCAACTTCTAACTGGTCACTAATGATATATTCAAATCGGTTTATGCTTACTTTAATGTGTCAATTTTAAAATAAAAGTTACATTTTTCATACAAGTAACTGGGAAAAATTAAATCAAGTGGGTGAAAGCTTTAGAGAATGTTTCAACTATGTAAGCAGAAATTGGTATACATCGTTGAATGATAAGGTTTGACTATCTGGATTTTTATCTTTGTCACATAATTAAGAACAGATTGTTATCAACTTACAATCCTTGTTTACACGACACTGCATGCTTACCGGATAATTATTAGGATGCATGTTCAAACTTACCAGTAAAAGATTGCATAGAGACATTACATCAGTGAGTTATTACACAATTTGTTTTTATATAAATAATATTTTCTCCTAGTTGTATCTGAATATCATGTTGTATGTGAGCAGAGAATTTGAATAATTAATTTTTGCATAAGAGATTTAGTGTATCAAAATATGTGCAAGCTTTGTAATTTTATTTCTTTTGCAACCTTGGGTACTTAAAAGTCTTCAATTATATACAAATGAAAGTGCAGACATTGTGTAATTCATTGTTGGTTTATGTCATTTGAAATCCTGGAAATAACATTTGCAGTGGACGATTATGTGACCTTTGATTTAATTGAATCCATTCTGTTCTTTTAATGTTCTTGTCTGGTGTGAGCTATGGTTATTCAACTACTCTTAGACGGCCTCCATTGCACATTGATTGTTTGTTACAAATAATGTACAATCCTTAATTTATTTTAGCTCTTAAAAAATGGTGTTGCAGGATCTACATTTATGTCACAATTTGAGTTTTTCTTTTTAAATTAAATGATTTTTAATTTTTTTTTAAAAATGTGTATTAAAATTTCACAAATTTTTATAATCTTGTCTGAATCAAACAAATTGTGTAAGTCAATAGAGGATCACATGAATGAAGCAAATACATTGTGGGTATTAATAATTATACAACAGTTGTAGCTTAGAGACCACAAGTGAAGTTATAAAGGAAAAGACAATAAATAGGAGGGTGAAAAAATCTCTTTGTAGCCAATTTATTTATCGATCCTTCACCTCAGAACATAAGGTCACATGATCTCCACTTTTCCTCCTAACAAAAAATTACTAACATCTATTTTAGAGCTCCTAAAAGTTATATTAAAAATTGATATAATGACCCCCTCTACCCATCTCATAAAGAAAAATGAAAGAGAAATATTACTTTTTCAATTTCAAGTGGAAAATAAAATGCATTACAAAAGAAAAAAATATCTTTAAACTCTAAAAGTAAGAGTCTGCATGGGAAATAATGATTGCTGTTTCTCGGATCAAAATTCTGAGTGCTTTAAAAGAAGACATAAGATATTCTGCTGCTTATCAAAAAGGATTTGACATACAGAAAAGTTCAGTTCATCTCTTATAATCATACTTTTACTGTTAATAGCAATATTATTATTTTGTTAAAAGTTTTTGTTCATAGGAAAGCGTAAATGTAAATGAAAACTACAATTGCAGTAAGTTATCTTTTCATTTTTAATACTCACTGAGAAAATGATTCTCTATCAATTACTCATACTGCAGTGCTTTTATAGATTTTACTCTGAGAATTTATTTTTAATTTATTTTGTTTTCAATTTAAATGAACTTTTTTTTTTGTATAGTGTGTAATTGCTGTCTTTATATTAAGTTTAAATCGGAATTCCAACCAACAAATCCTGAAAAAATACATATTTAAATCTGTTTCATTAAAATTATATAAAGGATTTTAACAATCTAACTGGGGACATATGCTGGTGAAGTCGTTGGTGAATGTAAAAGGTTGGAAAGATTATATGAATTGCTAACTGAAATCAAGTTCAAGTCGTTTTTGGAATCAAAAAACAAAAGTTGTGCCAGAACCTGACAATGAAAACTGGCTCACAGCTAAATTTGTTGTAGACTTGACTACCCTATTACATGAGTTAAAGTACATGCATCTTCAAAGTGAAAACCAACTGATCAATGCAAATAAATACAATGTTTCAAGCTATAACAGGCCTCGAGATAAAATTGAAACTATGTCAATCTGAAATTAAGACAAAAGTTTTTATATATTTCAACACATCTGCTAGACATGGTTGTGTGAACAAGGAAACAATATGCAGCCTGTCTGTTTCGATTTGATACAGGAATTTAATGAGAGCTGGTTTCAAGACTTCTGAAAAAATCATTAATCTCTTGGTATATTTGCGACTTCATTTTAAGTAAGTCGACATAAACATATTACCTGCCAATTTTCAAATGGAATGAACAAAGCTGCAATAAGAACTTTAAATTAAAGAAAGATTGGATTATGTCTCTCTACTTGACTTCGGTAAGACACATGGTCCCCAGGGAAAAAATATCCATCGCTTCACAATTATGCTTTATTCATGTCATCTCTCTTCGGCAGCACCTACATTTTTGACAAGTGATAAACACACGAACGCTAAAACTAGAACCAAAATATCTGACAAGGGCTTTGAGAACTCCTGAGAATTGCAACTACTTTCATCAAACCAAAAATCAAAGTATTATAGTCTCTAAAACTATGTCAAACATCTCACTAATTTTACGTTGCTGTTTTGTTTTGTACTTCTATAATTTAAAAGATTAATTAAGTTTAAAGTACTTAAAAAGAATAAATTTTGTGTGTGTTGATTACCAGCTATATTTAATGTTGGTGTAATTTTATGTGTTGCCCAAAACTCCTCGTCCTCCAATGTGGCAGAGAGAAGCTAAAGGGTTGGCACCCTGGAAATCCTATGTACCAATGATATCCAGAGCCCACGCAACACCATTCCAATCATTAAATTTGCTGATACCACCATCATTGGCTTAATATCTAAAGGGAAAATTTTATACCACAACTAAGTTACAAGTTTTATCAGCTGGTGTGATGAAAATTTTCTTCAGGTAAACATCTCCAAAAAAAATAAATGGTTTTCGATTTTAGGTGGGCGGGACTCACCAAATTGCAGATCTAACAATAAATAACAATAAAAATCACAGTATAGAGCAAGTTCTAGAGACATAGAAGTACCTAGATGTCACCATTAATAAGCTAATGTCGCATGACTAGGACCTAATTCTATTTCTACATAAAAAAGGTACCAAAGACTTCTCTTTCTTAAACAAATTACACAATTTTGGTGTTTAAAAACTAACATAGACATAGTCTAAGGTGCAATAACTGGAAGCCTACTGAACTTCAGTTTTACCTGCTGGTGTGGGAATTCATAGGTTCTATAGAAACAGATTTATGAAGAAAGCAAGAGCAATATCACTCAAATGGATACTTCCCACCTTCTTAGTCTTAATCACAGATACCTATCAGGGCAAATTCCTTCCCTCAAAGGAAAGACCGAAAGATATAACAATTCATTTGTCCCCCAATCTGTAAGAATTTACCAGCATGCTCGGGCTGTTAAAAAAACTAAATAAGTGCTGTTACACTTACGGTCAAAATTGTCACTAATTGATGGAAGTTCCATGGTATATGATGGTTGATTTTTGCGCTTGACAAATACTTTTAGATGTCTGTTGTTACATTGTTCTAGTTTAAAAATGTTTGACTCCATAAGAATATTAAAGTATGTGTTGAAAAAGAATATTAAAGTATGTGTTGAAAAAGAATATATACTATGTAATCAAAAAACATTTCCATTTATTAATATTTCTTTTAACCATTTAAGAATCTTTAAATTATCTTTAAAAGAAAGTGCTATGTTATTCTTAACTCAAATTTTCCCACCATTTAAGATCCATAAGTGTCTGTATAAATATCTCTAGTTTATTGTCAGTCATGAATTATAAAAATTATTGTTGAATTATTACCATTTTCTGACAACTTTTTAATTTAGTCTGTGATTGATTTTTTTTTCCCTCCTTTTTTTGAGCTTCTTATCTTTTTTTTTGAATGTTGTAAAAGTTATTTTTTGGAAAGGTGATCGAGTAATCATTCTTCAATTGGACCATAAAACAATGCTTAAAAATAGAATTTGTTATCTAAACTAAGCAAAAGTTCATGAATGCCAAGTGGATGACCATTATTATTTTATCACATTTAAGTTAAAAATCTTTCCAAAATGATTAAATTCGGTTGAAATTTCGCAGTTGATTCAGGCGTAGAGTAATCCCAATTTTTTAATTCAACCTCTCCAGCCTAAAAAGTGCTTTTTAGATTCAGTCAAGTGCAGTATTTTTTCTAGTTTAAACTTCTATTAAAATTGAAAACAGGTAACGCGTCTTATATAAAGCTGCTCCACAGTCAGTGAGTTTGCTATGTACATATTTTTTTTACTTTGTGTATATATTGATTGGAAGAAAAAGTTGTCTCCAAATATTTAAAAATGTAAACTTAATCTGGTAGTGTTTATAGCATAGCGATGAAGCAAAACTGATATTAAACTCCAGGAAAATGCTGTTAAGTGTAAAACGGTGCTTACAATATATATAGGGAGTAAATGAAGGCATGAGTGTTGCGTTTTAGAATGACAAATTGAAAACCGACTTATTTGAATTTAGTGTGAATGCTCATGTGTCAATTATAAATTTTATCAGTGTAATAATTTTATGTTAATTTAAAGAGGTATGCTGAATGCAAGTGTCGAATGTTTCATGAGACACACTCGAAAAAGCACAGGAGAAAAAACCAGAGTGAACTGCAGCGTCGTATAGAGCAGGATTTAAAGTTAAAGCATTGAAATTCAGCATGGCATTTAAAAAAATTTAATGAAATTAAATTAAATAGTTTGAATTATCATAATCCATCTGTTCCACTCTTCTTATGTTATTGGCTCCCCCTCCCATATCTTAGAGACATTTCACTCTAATGAGATTGAGCTTTTAAAAATATTAATATTAAAAAAAAAATGCTTGGTCTTGGGCTGAAGATAAGCTCAAAAAGATTCATAGATACATTTATCAGATCTGCCAACATGTTCCAATTATTATATTAGCAACTTTACCCTCAATGGGATTTTAAAAAAAAACTTGTTTTATTTTTGTGTGGAAAATAAATTTCTGACTTTTACCTTCTGTATCACATTGATACTTTGTCACAATCTGATAACCTTCAAAGACCAATAACAATACATTTAAATTTAAATCAAGTAAAACAATGATTAATGAGTTCTGCATAACCTACTTTTTTTGTAAACTCTCTTAACCCAGTGCTGCATAACCTACTTTTATTTGAAACGTTCTTCTTCCCTGTATCACTCAAATAATTAGCCTCAAACTTATGACAATAGCAAAAAACTGTTTATAGAATTATAGATAAATATTAAATATACCAGTAAAAGAAATAGATGATAATAATGGAAGTAACTTGGTTTAAATTTTCATATTATATACATTTATTTATGTAAAGAATAAAATACATCAGTCAATAATAAGTTCATCAAGAGCCCAATCTTCATAGCTGCCATCTGGTAGATACCTTCTGATAATGAATGGAATTTTTCTTGCTCTGTAATTTAAAAAAAAAAAAAGTGTATTATTCATTTAAAATTTATTATATTTTTAAAGTATAGAATGGGTAATCACTTGGAAAATTAAAGTGTGTAGTTTATGAAGTAGAACCTTCAGTGATTGTTACTAGTACAGGGTAGGCTGTTAGTTTTAATAACTAAAAGTTACTGAGACTTAAATAATGTAGACAATTTTATTTTTAAAACCAACGGAACTTTTAACTTATTCATTTGACTCAGTCCTGAAATCTTAAATATGGTAATCAAAAGCCAGTAACCACACATAATTTTACTTTGCATATTTTATAGAGGTTAATTGTATTTTGAAGTATTTTAATTGCCTAGCCAAATAGTATGTTAAATAAAAATAGGTGATTGTTGGCATCTAAATTAAATATTAATCTTGATGTTGACAAGAAATAGCATTAGTTACAAGAGTGGATCATTGTGTCAAGGAGGATTTATAAGGCTTGTCCATCATTTGTGAAGCAGGAAGTGGTTTGATAGTGCTTTCAAAATGACAGAAATACTGATAAGAGAAAAAAGAAATTGTACAAAAAGAGATTAGCCAAAAATGGCACTTATTACTAGAGACAGAAAAGCAAGTAACAGTAAATCAATGGAACAAAAAAGGAGAGACAAAAAAAAAATAAGTAAAGCAATGGGAAAAAAAAAGTATTGCCATAAAGTAGAAGGATAATTAATTACTTCAGTTCTTTCATTGCTATTGCCAGAGGATCTGTTTCTCCCTCGAGCTCAACCATTACAGGTGCACACATACTGAAAATTAAAAAATCTATTTAATATAGATTTCATTTACAGAATCTATAAATGTGTAACTCATTCAAAAATGCATGCTGAGTAACAAAACAAAAATTCAGACATATGCATCAAACTGTACAACAAAATTTCCTGTAAATAATATTACAATTTTATATGTCTTTGGAAAAGTAAATATTCCCAATCAGTGTATATTTCAGGCAACACTCCAATGCAACCCACCAGCAAAATGTGGTGAACTGAATAGTATAACAAAACTGAATAGTCATGTTTATGACATTTTTAAAAAGAGTAGTAAAGTGTACTTCGCAGCAAATAAAATCAGTGATTTAGTGGATGCAATTAATAAATATATATTTTGTTTGACGATCCGAATTATTTACGGCAAAAGTAATTTACACCATTTGACTATAAATATTTCAAAATTTATTACAACTACTTTTCAGTCAATATATAATAATGGCTTATAAAAATCTATAAGTGTCGCTATAATATATTGAAATAGTGGTTGACAAGTATCAAACATTGGCAATCTGTTTAAGATCTATATATATATAATAAGTGGATAAAATGGGATATGTTTAGGCTTCAAAAAAATAGATGGGACAATTTTTATTGAGACCAAATATTATCCTTAACTATATAAAATCAATTTAACTTTTAAGTGGGGTAGTGGAAGGATTCAAATAATCTAACCACAGGTGTGCTGCCTAATGTCTGTTATAAAAAATGATAAACGATAATCTGTCTTGGCCAGTTTTATCAGAGAACAAAAATGACAACATTAATTTGAAGGTCTATACATCTTTCTTGAGCAATAGTATTCGTTCTTTTTATAATAAATGATAAATGCAAAAAAGAAAGTGTGAGCAGACTTTAGCTGCCATTGAGCTTCCAGGAAAATTGTGACAAGAATATGATGAATTGAGATTTCTTCTAGAGAGAACAGCAAATTATTATGTGATTCAGAAACCTCAAAGAATAAAAATTTTTTTTTTTAAATATTAGACTTCTTAGCAGTTTTGTTTATGTTAGTTTATAATCATCATTCAATAAATATAATGCTATTAGTAAAAATAAAAATGATATTTTTAAACTTTACATTGATTATATAGTTGTACTATATAGATGCCAGGGGTGAAACAAAACAGGGGCCATTAGCAATCCCCAGGGGTGCTACAACCAATAATTACTTTATGCAGTGTGGGGGTGCGCTTGAGCTGGAGCTTTCTCTATGAGCAATGATTCTTAATTTTGGTGCTGATCACTGATAGATGCCCCCCTCACCCTGGCTCAAACTGTTAGAAACACGCCACTCAAACCATAAAGTCAAGAAATTTGTGAAGATATGAGAGACTCATTATTTCATTTTATCTCTTATTTTCAGAAGCTTATTAGTCATTTAGAAATTGTCATAAAACTATAAAGCAGATCTTTTTGAAAACATTTATGGGAAAATCACTAGCTGTGCCTTTCCACTTCATGTCTATAAAACTGTAGCTACTGCAATCCTTCTCTATCATACAGAGACCAGGGTGATACACAAGAGACACATGGAGATGCTAGAACATTTTCCACAACAATGCATGGAAACTGCAAAGGGCATAACACAGCAATATTACACTACCGGTACAAACAATGAGGTGTTAGTAGAGGCCATTCGGGAGAGCACTGATGCCACACAAAGTTGGTTTGACATCTTTCTGCCATGAGAGACAAATTGTATGGCCAAAATCGTCTTCCGTAGCATTTGAATGCGAAATGGAAGAGCTTTTAGCAAGAATTACAAAGGCTTGCTCAAACATATAGCAGGCATCAGCTTGCCTAGAAAAAAGCACCTAGGAAAAGCTGGTCTCTGACAGATAATCAAAGATCTTAACAAAAATACAGACATTTGAGTCACCCACCAGCGGCAGCTATGGAGAAGCACAGACAATGAATGCAGGCTAGTGACACTAAAAGTGAAATATGGTTACCCTAAATGCCATAAGCGTCAGTAAGTGCAGATTAAATATTCATAGCCACCTGCAAGCATGCAAAATACTTCAAACCCAATAATCTTTTTAGTAAAGGTTAGAGTTATCAATAAAATTGATTTTCTTTAGAATTTTTTTTTTTATATAGATAACAGAATTTTAACAACATAAGCATAACATCAGGTGTACAATCCAATACTATTTAAAAAAAATCTTTTTACGCTATCTGGAGGGCACGGGTCCCAAGAACACGAGCTCTTTCATATTTTGTCATGTATTTGGTCGTGATCCTTTTTTGTGGTTCCACTTGACCTGATGCCCCATCTGTTATTACTTCAATTCTGTCCCCCTGAAAATTGTTACCAATTTTTTAAAAATATATTAATTATTTCATATTGTTATGTTGAATCAAACTTTGATTTTTAATAATGAAACAAATTATATCATGATTATATGATCACCCACCCTCCCTTTAATTATCTTTTAAAATTTAACCAGCAAATACATATTTTAATTCTTACATACGGGATAGACCAAGAAATAATGTACCACTTGCAGCAAATTTCTTAGCAGAATGCAAACAGAAATTTTTTTTTAAAAAATCTCACAATTTTCAAACAAAGATTAAAAGAACAAAAAACTAAAAGCTTCTTAAGGTAAAAAATATTGGAGCATCAAGTTCAACTATTGTAAATGAAAATGACTTTAATGACTTGTGTCTTTAAAATTACATAATTTCACCTGTTCAGTGTCAATAGGCTCATCAAGTTGTTCATCATCCTCAACATCGGGTCCATCTTCAAAGCTATGAATTAATGATAAAAATTTTTTTATTAAAATTATTTCTTATAATGTGCTCTGCTACTTTACTAGATCTAAATAATCCCCTGTGAAACTGAGCTGGGAGAACATTATTCATATGTAAAAAAAAATGACATGTATACAACACAGACATATTGGAATAAGTTAATGCAAGCAAGAAGAGACATTTTGAGAGGTAAGAGGTGGTGCATTCTATCATTAAAATATGTAAATCAAGTTCAATCACAGGTAGATGTGGAAATCATATTACTCTGTTGAGTTGTTGAGCAATGGTCAAAGGTGATTTGTGCATTTCTCTTAAATGCCTTGATTGAAGTTAAATCTCTTTATTACTGCTAAATCAGGGCACTTTTAAGAATGTGAAAGCAAATGACAGAAGAGATCGGGAGAAATTAGGGGTAAAGGTAAACAAATTAAGATTTTAAATGCTTATATTGGACCAAATAAAGAAAGAATTTTAAAATATAAGCTGCGATTGTTGTAGGAAAAGCCAAATTCAGAGTAAGGGTGCATGGTGAGATGGCATGGAGACTGAGTTAGAGTGAAAGATCGGACATACACATTCTTTGATACTGTACACAAAATCTTAAGAGAGATAACTTAGAAATTCTAGACATCTGGTTGCGATTATTTTGATGATTAATAAATGGGTTATAAAACAAATATAACACCACAAACCTCTGCAACCCCCCACCCTCTCATAAAAAATCACTGTCCACTTTTGTCCTTTACAAACCCAAAAATAATATTATCCCATGTCCCATGGTATCAAATAAGTGATTACTGCACCTGTGTCAGAAACATTTCCCTGGTACTTAACAATAACCAGGGTACCGAAGACCTATAAAATTGGATTTGCTGCCATGGCTAGTTATTGCTGCCTTCTAAAAAAATCAGTTTTTATGATTTTAAGCATTTTAATTAGCTATTTACTATTAGTCTATTAGTAGTATTAGTACTTTTAGCAGCATTAGCATACATCATACATGTTTTCGTAAATTTTGTTTATGATTTATGCATTCAATTTATTGGAGCATTTATTTTCTAGAGAGTTAATGAAAGAAAACTACAATAAATTACTTAGTTACTTTCATTTTAAACATTTTATTAAAGAAAAAAAAAAGGGGGGGGGGGTGTTATGCTTTTTAAACTAAATGGAGCATTTATTTTCTAGAGAGTTAATGAAAGAAAACTACAATAAATTACTTAGTTACTTTCATTTTAAACATTTTATTAAAGAAAAAAAAAAGGGGGGGGGGGGTGTTATGCTTTTTAAACTAACACCCCTCCATGATCTTTTGGATATGACACTTCCAGCCCATTCGCGGCATTGGCCTATGCCTATAGCCCAGGTATGCTAGATGTGATACTGATCTAGTACAATAATTATAGATTGATGACCAAAGTTTGATTTGTATGCTATCGGCCTAAATTGAATAATTTATTCGCAGTGGGACTAAGCCATGGCAGTGCTAGTTAAAAAGTTTAAGTAGGCTAGTCATACTAAATCATAATCTAAGCTAAAAGCCACATTGAATTTCGATTTAGATAACTATCACCAATTTATGACACTAATCAGTTACATATTTTAAAATAAATTTTGGACCTCTTTTACTATTTATAAATTAGATTATTGGGTACGATTATTGGAATCATACTCACTCATCGCCTTCTACTTCGTCTGGATCCATGTTGAAAATAGTGTTCAGAACTGTTTTACTTTTTAACTGCTAAGAGCTGTTCTTTCTTATTCTCACCAAAATTACGACTAATCGAATACTCATAAAGAGCCCACTTATTACTGGCGATTCTGCCACTCTAAATTTAGACTGAAAAAAACTAAAAATTTTACGATTAGATCTAGGCCCTATAGTGACACTAAAAAGTGTATAGGCCTGCAATAATTTTGAGGTTTGAAATTGGGACCAATAACGTACTTCAAAGGGGTGAAAGGATAAACCGCCCCAAGGCGGCACTATTGTTTAGGTTATAACAACACTATATGTTGTGTGTGGGGTGCAATTTTGGGGCTTTCCCAGGGTGGCATTTAGTATTTAGTCAAAGTACCCCATTGGGAAACACACAAATGTCCGGAAAGTCACATCGTGTGCGTTTGGTACTTGGGGATAAAAGAGTAGGGCCTATTTATTCTTTAATTTTTTTCACTTGAATTTACTTTCTAACAAACTGCATGATTCTTTTTGTCCAAAATATCTAAACATATTAGAAATGTGAAATGGGACTTTTATTATAGTTATGAGAAGATTAATGACTGTAGCCTAATCATGCCTAATGTTTAATAGCATATTCCTTCTGTCTTCTCATAGGAAAAAATGAGGGGGAAAGGGGGAGGGGCATAATCGGACAACTGCATAGTCCGTATGATGGAAGGGAGCGTTGCAAAAATCAGGGCGCAACTACCTCTAGCTACGGCACTACACAGTTACCGGGGCCAAATTTATTGTAATTTTTATTGACAAGTGGGACAGAAATCGAGAACACCGATGGCTCTTGTGTGAAATGGGTGAGGGTCTGGGGAGTCGCTCCGCGGAAAATGTTTGATCATTTCAAATTCGAGAGGTTCATTTTTGGATATGCCTAAATTCAGTGCTTCCATTAGACAAGTTGATAGGGGAGGGGGATTTTTCAGCACGCAAATTAGGAATTATGATGCCCATAGCCATACATAAACTGAATTCACTCCGAATGGAAACATATTCTTTTGACACAAGCTTAGATTCAACCCCATACTGTCACAGTGATCAGTGTGGGGAAGCAAAATTTTAGGATAGTGAAAACTCATGAGCAAAAGTAGGGGCATGGGACTGAGGAGAAGCATGGATGCATTTTGACGCATACTTGAATTGGATGTTTCATTCAATTTGTTCGGGTGGGGGGGGGGGGAGTTTTGACGTTCGGATGGGAACCACCAAGTGTATCCATAATGGCATCAAGAACACCTTTAACTCCGCCTAAATCCATACCAGCTGTGGCGTATTTGAGGTTAAGCTTTTTAACTTAGCTTAGTCTCGCCCCTTAAATCTTTATAGTCAACAGAATTTATAAAAAAAAAAATAATTATAATTTAAAACGCCAGGATGCACTAAAACAAAATATCCGAATTTTGTTTCGCATTATTCTACATTTAATCAGAAAGCAACAGGTGAGATGGTAATTAAAAAGGTAGGTGTCTCAGAACCNCAAGCTTAGATTCAACCCCATACTGTCACAGTGATCAGTGTGGGGAAGCAAAATTTTAGGATAGTGAAAACTCATGAGCAAAAGTAGGGGCATGGGACTGAGGAGAAGCATGGATGCATTTTGACGCATACTTGAATTGGATGTTTCATTCAATTTGTTCGGGTGGGGGGGGGGAGTTTTGACGTTCGGATGGGAACCACCAAGTGTATCCATAATGGCATCAAGAACACCTTTAACTCCGCCTAAATCCATACCAGCTGTGGCGTACTTGAGGTTAAGCTTTTTAACCTAGCTTAGTCTCGCCCCTTAAATCTTTATAGTCAACAGAATTTATAAAAAAAAAAATAATTATAATTTAAAACGCCAGGATGCACTAAAACAAAATATCCGAATTTTGTTTCGCATTATTCTACATTTAATCAGAAAGCAACAGGTGAGATGGTAATTAAAAAGGTAGGTGTCTCAGAACCGCCCTTTACAGGCACGCATTGATTACAAACCGTCCGTTCTCTGTCACAAATTTTTCTCTAGTTCCTGCCTTTCCTATCTTACTGAAATTCTGTCTATTCACCCCTTCGAAAGCTTCGTTCCTCCGCAGACATGCGTATTCTTTATGTTCACAGAACACGCACTAAAACAGACGGTGAACGATCTTTCTGTGCCCCCAAACAATGGAATCCTCTCCATCTTCACGTCCGCAACATACCAACCATCCCAGCCTTCAAAACTGCCCTAAAGACCCACCTGGGCCATCTCTTCAAAATCTACTATACCGACTCCATTCTCACCCCCACCCCCCTAAGTGATAAACAACGCTCGATGCTGCTGGGTTCTGTCCATGGCTAGATAGTACTTGGGTGGGTTCTGTCCATGGCTAGATAGTACTTGGGTGGGTGCTGTCCATGGCTAGATAGTACTTGGGTGGGTGCTGTCCATGGCTAGATAGTACTTGGGTGGGTGCTGTCCATGGCTAGATAGTACTTGGGTGGGTGCTGTCCATGGCTAGATAGTACTTGGGTGGGTAGGGGGGGGGGGGGGGGTGGCAAAAGTGGCAGGGGACCTCGAAAATTCAAGCATCAGCTCTTTTTGACCTGGTTGTGTTATATAAGTATTTTTTTTTAAAATATATATTACTAAATAGTAAAGTGTTGTAATGTTGTAAATGACAATAAATGAATTTGAAAAACAACAACAACAAAACAATTGATGAATAATTTCTTTGTTTAAATTTCTCAAAATTTTCCCTATTTAAAAAAGGAAAGAAAACCCTGTTTTGTATAGGGTGTCACCCGGTGCGATAAACTCACGGTGCGTATATATGTCATCAGTTTCTATCACCATCTCACCCCCAACCCCCTAAACGATTCCTTGATGAGCCGATAAGTAAGGCAATAATTGAATATGGCTAAATAGAAAGTAAAAAAAAAAAATCGGGGTGGGGGAGAGACAATCACCATGTTTATAATAATTTCTGAAATTGAAAAATTCATTTCTTTTCTACATTCTGCAATTTGATTAATGTCGCTTTATACGACCAAGTCTTTCAATGGTATTTGTATGGCCGAAATGAACAGTGTAACCGATAGGAAAGACGGCAGTAGAAGTGTTTTTATTGACATTTATTGTAGTATATCTTAGTCATATGTAGATCTAAATGATTTGTGAGCCTTAATTAATTACGGGGCATTACAATCATCATCTTCCTGAAGGTTTTGATACTATTCACATTATTACATAATATGGAATAGTATATTAAGTGGTCAACTTCCTATCACGTGATAATGATATACCCTTATCAACTTTAAGCAAAGACCACTTCATCATCTTCTAACTTGAGATGGACAGATTATGAAAAAAGTTCTTCCTACATCCTTCCCAACCTCAGCGTTGATAAAGCACTATGATTACTATGACTATGAGCATGGACAGTTTTAATGTGTTTTATCTTTTGTAGTTTTTGCTTCTCAACTGGTTACTATTAGTATACTTTTTACTCTTTAACAGATTCTGTAATCATTGATATCAAAAGAAAGAAACTAAGCGAAGACAATAGGCCACATTTGTTACAATTTTATTGGATAATATTAATAATATAAACAAAAAAACCTCAAGATTAGGCATTTTTTTATTACTACCTTAATTGAAAGTGAAATCCACTATTCACAAGCATCCCTTAAACTCATGGCACCTTAAGACCAACCCTTCCCACGATAGATTAAGTCAAGTGCTTAGGCTTGCACAAATTAAAGGAAAATAAAATTATTTGTATAAGCCTTTCACTGAGCAGAAGGAATCAAAATCAATGTTAGTAAGATCCTTAGCATTTTCTTTGACATTCATTTCATTTTATTTATTTATTTATTTAGGCATTTTTATATAGCGCTTACCATAAAGCTCTAAGCGCTTTACAATTATGAAAAACATGTAAACTAAGTAAAATAAAAAGGAGACACTAGGATAGTAACTACTATACTATAGAAACAATAAAAATGGCTATAAAACGAGGACACTTTGACACGTTTTGACCTATACTTCAGGATCAACCCGAAACAGAAAATGAGGCAGGGCAAGGAGGGTGCATCACAGGTCATAGGCGGACCTAAACAGATGAGTTTTAAGGGACTTTTTGAAAATGGACGAGGTTTCACAATGACGGATATGGAAGGGGAGCTGGTTCCAGAACGTGGGCCCATGGAAGCAGAAGGAGCGTTCACCGATGGTCTTAGTTTTGGTTCTTGGGATTGAGAGGGTTCTACTGTCAATGGAAGACCGTAGTTGTCTTGTGGGGATGTAAGGAAGCAACAGTTCAGAGAGATAGACAGGAAAGTGAGGGTCAGTGAACGAGTTGAAGCAAAGATTGGCAGACTTGTATTTGATGCGAGAGGATATTGGAAGTCAGTGGAGTTGCCGCATGTGTGGTTGAATGTGGTCATGTTTCTTTGATTTAAAAATGAGTCTGCATGCTGAGTTCTGTGCCTTCTGAAGTTTGTCTATGTGGTGTTGAGGAATGCCTGCGAGAAGAGTGTTATAGTAGTCAAATTTTGAAAGAATGAGTGAAGAGATGAGAGTTTTTGTGGCATCAAAGGAGAGGAGGTGTTTAATGGTGCTGATTTTTCTAATTTCGTTAGATGCTGATCTGCATATATTCGTGACATGTTTGTCCATGGAGAGGGTGTCTGTAAGCGTGACTCCAAGGTTTCTGGCAGAGGGAGAGAGTGTGATGTCAGAGTATTACAAGATAGAGTACATACTTTATCCCCTGATAAAAACTATCAAAAGTTTAATTTTTTAGCCCATCAAAAGGGAGAAGTGGCTAAAAAAAAACCAAAACAATAGCATTGTAGTTGCTAAAACTCTGACGTGCTACTAAAGCCAAAATAAACAATTTGATCTGTGGTAATGGTGGTAGGACCAAATTATATGTAGGCCTACCGGTAATTCTGGAGTGATGAAGTAAAAAGTTCTGGAGCTCTGGGGTATCCTACCACATATGTTCAAGTAAAATTCAGTTTATTGGTAATGACTTTCATCAGCTTCATCAGCAAGTAGTGCAAGATATGAATCACTTTCATTATTAGAAGAAAGACGGCTGGTTTGATGGAGGGATGATTTCTTGAGACCAGATTTAATGACTGCATTTCCACTGTACTTGTACTTGCAGCAACAAACTGTGCCAGTAACGGTAACTAGAATGCCAGACAATACTAAAAAGAATGCAATATCTGTAAAAGAAGAATGAGCAAAAATAATGTTGGGGGGATAACTCAGAAGTTGTATTATTTTATAATACTATCATAGGAGTCGACTAAACAAAGTTCTCTTTCTTGTGACCTCCTTACTTATGTCAGATCTTCCTTCTTCACCAGTCAAGAAAACACACTTAATACAAACACAAAGTTTAGTCTATAGACAGACCAACAAACACATTCTCACTGTAAAACTATCACCTAATAATCTTCCAAGATGTCCTCAGAAAATGAATTGCATAATTTATTTCCCCACAAGATAATTAAATGGAAAGATATCCAAGTTATTCAAAATTAATTGGAAGAAAGCGTAAAATCTGTGTAAAAATCACTAAAGACTTTTGCCAAAATCAGAATGTATGTCTTCAGATACAAATTTTTCCCTTCGTAAGATGATAAAATGAAGCAAACCAGCTCCTTATACTGACATTATACCCAGTTCACTTGATTCTGGGCTCCTCTACCTAATGTGCTGACCCAACGTCTTCTTGCATACTATAACAGTGATGAGAGTTCACGAGTTGCTTAACAGGCAGCATTGAAATTTCTCATACATTTTCTTATTTTTTAAATGTTTTCTTCAAATTATATTCCTGGATAGTTGGATATTTTTGGATCTGAAAGATTCATGTACTGTTTAGAAGCTAAACCTTTTCACTCATAACAAACTAAATCTTGTTGTAGTGTGTAATTTCGTGACAAGACTATGTGGAATAATTTTTTCGAGCCCTAAAGAAGCCAGAATTATCAATATTTTGATCGTGGGCCCTTAATATGTAGAAGAAGAAGAAGTTACCCCCTGACTCACATTGATATCTTCTATCCATGGAAATCCCTTATTTAACTGAGATCAATATTTTTCTATTTCCTGTGTTAGTTTTTCTACCAGTTCTCTATCCTCCCTGTTCCTTTCTCCTGCTGTACTGTAACAATTCCTTTTTATCACTTTGTTTAAATTCTAACCTCTCTTTTTTCACTAATTTTACCATCAATTCAATGAGTTAGAGCTTCACCCTTAAAGCCAATATCCTCTCAGATTTCTATAATTTCTGTAAACAACTTTTTCTTGGCACGTGTCCATAACTTAAAGCGCAAGAGACATGTCAGGAAGGCTCGGTCTGAGTATGATCCTGGAGATGCCCCATCATTCCCCTGCACCTACTGCACAAGAAAATTTAGTGCCAGAATCTGCCTCATTAGCCATCTGCGCACCCACAGACAGAAATACCACAAATCTGATGATTAAAGTGCTCATGGTCGACTCCCGACTGACGAACAACAACTATATATATATAGATAGATAGATAAATAGATACAGATATATATTATTTATGTTAATTTAAAAACTGGGCTATAATTTGAAACAACAAATATAATGTTGAAAATCTAAACATTGCTTCGAGTTTAGACTATACATTAAACTAATTAATCAATTACTATATAAAAACATCTACAAATACAACTCATCATGCAGATATTAAAAATTATAGACATCTGCACAAATTATTTCTGACCTATAATATGAAACTAAAAAACTAAGTAAACTTAGGCTTGGTTTTGTGGACTTCCCATGGTAGCCACAAACACAGTTGCTAAATATAGGGTCACCATACACCCACTGGGTACAGGGTTCGGTTGACAACACAGTAATTTGGTATTGAAGTATACAAACAGCAATTGGATGCAGGGCATGGTTGAAAACACAGTTAGTGATCACAGGGTCACCGTATATACATGGTCAATGGAATCAGGGTCGCCGCACACTTTGTTGACACACACACTCAGCCACTGGATGCATGATTTGTCACTTGAAACAAAGTCTCAAATCAATAATTGAATAGTCTCCCAAATGGTAAAAACTAACACCTCAGAATTCAAACGTTGTTTATACTATAAAATCCAACTATTCACTATAAAATTATACTACTTTCATTCTACACTTATGGTATCGGTATACTAGAATTCAGCCTAACAACTGAAACTGCATCTGATTCAGTACCGCTACACAAAATGTCATATTCGTAGCAAAATAGTGTTGTTTTTTTTAAATTTGACACCAAAACATGCTCACGAAACAAACCATTAACACTCCAAACACAAACCAAAAACATGATTCACTAAGCATAACAATCAACAATTTCTATTCAACATGTTATTTTTATAGGATAGAGCTCAGTAGCCAAGTACTTACATCGAGGATATGTAAAAATACTGATGTTGTCATTGTGGAGTAAAAGAGAAACGATATTCATACTGCCATTGTTTGGAGCAGGCTGTAAATTCAGTAAATGACACATCAAAGGGTAGATATCAACCAGTAAGAAAGTATCCACCTTGAAATTTTTCTTAAATGATGGTCCAATAGCCATGAAAAATGGACGCATATCTTCATGTATGTTGTCATAACCATGTGTTCCACCTGTTGAAAAGTATGCAGGTTTTAGGTTGATCCTCATAGGCTTACAGAGAACAAATTACTATTTTAACACAAAACTAACTCATAGAATTTAATATTGACATACATTTTCACACTAAACGGTTGTTTCGCAGGATATACCTTTAAACTTTTACCGGGTTAGGATTTGGTGTCAGGGGACTTGTGACACTTACTACACTGAATACTATTCATATTAAATTTATTAAATTTTTTTAAAAACTTTAATTGCAAAGTTTGATAAAAAAAAATTGTATTTAAATAGCTTTAAACAAGAAATTAAATCATAAAGTCAAGGTAAAAAAAAAATCATCCATAATATTTGCTGAAAATATCCCATTTACTTCTGTACAAATAAATAATAATAAATTGGCTTACGTTGTTTGAAATTTTCTTCGGACATATTACTGATAAAACTATATGATATATCAGCCACAGCAATAATTGGGGTGACTCTGATATTCTTTTTATAATGCAGTCTCTCTGGAATGTCTGATTTCTTATAAACATGGAAGTGGTTTCTCTCAGAATTGGCTTTCAGTTGCTCATAAATAAATTCCTCCTGACCTGGAATAAGAATAGTGATCAAACTAATGATATTCATAGGAATCTCCCTATAACATCCCAAACCCTGATGTGAATTAGCATATAACATGGTCATGGCATAGCTCCCAAAGTGTCTTATTCAGCAAATGTTATGTTTTTTCAAACTATGTGAAAAAGTACCGATTGTAAATATTTTTAAATTCATACTGTCATACTGGGGACTAATGTATCAATTTAAATATGATATGATTGTGGTATGGTTCCCGTAATTTGAAATTAATAAACATCAAAAAATAAATGCCACATACATGATGGCTGGGGTTGTCAGTGTTAGTAAACACAATCAATTGAAAATATATAATGTCCACTTCAAATACTTCAATAGCTGTAAAAAACCCAACACTATTAGTAGAGAATGAAAGCTTCTTTTAAACCGAGTTGTACATGGACATCAGTAGGCTTATCGAGTACATTGAGACACATTAGTTGCGCCAGGGTTAGTTCATATAAAAATATTGGAAAACAAAGAATTAACGTGACCCTAATTTTATGAAATCCAAGTATTGCATAATAACAAGGTTCCAAATGTACTTTTAAAACAGTTTGACAAGTTTAAGATTTTTAATTGAGATGACTCTACACTTGGTAAAATAGAATGAGATGTAAAAAATCAAAATAAAGACATGCAATTTATGTTTAAGCTATTATTTGTCTTGTGTTCTGCCTTGGCAAGTCTTTTGAAATAATTCTTTTACTATATCTTACATTTAGAAGTCATTAAATTGTAGGCTAACCTACAACCTACAAATTTTTTCTTATAATTTATATAAATGGCTCCTTGCTCAAAAAAGCTTGTGGACCCCTGTTCTGATGTATAACTAAGTATAACTAAGTTCAATATACTAAATGAAACTAGTTTTTAAATTTAATAACCAAGTAAGCTAAATTTGCATATTCAAGTACTCTACCTTCTTTTGGAATGATTGCAGCTACTGGAGTATAATGAACCATGTGATATAAACTTGGGTCCACAAATTTATCTAGATTAATCAATCTTGATTTTGAAACAGATGCAAACCCATGATCACTTGTTATTATTATGTTAATTTCATCTAAAACAGATTTCTTCTCTAGTTGTTCCAACAGGTAGCCAGTTAGGTGATCTGCATATTGTATCATTTTAGTTACATTTTCAGAATCTGGACCATAAGCATGAGCAGTGTGATCAGGTTCAGAAAAATATAACAGTCCTAAATTGACTGGGTTTTCACCAGACAGCCAGCCTATCATTGTGTCAATTCGTACCTTAGAACCAACCTCTAAATTAAATGGCATGTGGTATGTGGGGTGAATTCCTTTAATTTCATTTTCAGCGCCCCACCACATAATACTTCCACTCCTTCCATATTTTTTTTGAAGTTGATTAGTTACCCAAATAGGTTCAACCCCAGTATTATAAAAGCGAGGGTCATTCACAGCGAATTTGTCCTTATATAATGGAATATAACTTTTATTGATGACTGGATCAAACATTTCATTTTCAATTATTCCGTGATCCTCAGGGTGTAAGCCCGTTACCATTGACCAATGGTTTGTCAATGTTGATGTAGCAAATTCATTTGTTAGGCCATTGGTGGCAAAAACTCCATTGCTTATTATGTGATCAAAATGTGGAGTAGATGTTCGATTTAAATAATTCCAACGAAATCCATCAAATGAGACAATTAGAAGAGGAAAATCTTTATTATTTTTAATAAAGTCTTTGGCGTCACTGTCATTAAGTTTATTCCCAATTAAGTAAAAGTTATAGAACACAAGTGGAAGCGATATTGAAATAAATATGAGAAAGGAAATAAGCATTAAAGTATACCCAAACGTTTTTTTCTGCGAAAAACAAAATTTTCGTTTAAGTGTCGATTGCATTTTGGAATTAATAAGAAATAAGGTCAATATCAACAGCTTATATTGGAGTGAGACTGATCAGAAGTGTATGGACCATGGACATGGATCATGATTTCTTGTAAATTTTAAGCGTCAAAAAACAGCTATGGTTTCATATCGAGATCTCAGGCACACGTGAACAAATTCCGAAATATTTAGCATAATAGTCATTAAATAATTGTCAACGATTTCGGTGTTCGTTCGTTCGATATTTTCTTAGAATTCATATGGAATTGGTTCAATTATGTGTGAGTGACTAAAAATAACATCTAGTTAACGAAAATCTGATTTGTTCGGCCATCGCATGCAAAGACGACAAAGACAATTTTAGACTTGAGTGATTTAAGTAGTATTTTGTTTAAAGTGAGGGAGAGTTGCTCCATTCGCCAGCCTCACTCTCTCACCCTCCCTTGCCTGTTTGATACAGTGGAAATACTTGGCCAAGAGGACTGGAAGTAGATTAGGCTGCAGTAGATTACTAGCAGTATTTGTGTGTGTGTGTGTGTGTGTGAGAGAGAGAGAGAGAGAGAGAGTGTGTGTGTGTGTGTGTGTGTTTATTTTCACGGTGCTCTTTATGTGTCCTACGTTCCAGGAGTTGTCGGAATTTTCATTTGTCAATGTCATTTTTATGGGACTCTATCTCCTGGTTTGATTTCAGAGTTTGCCTTCTCTTCATAGATTAATTGCCATCCAGAATTAATGAGTTACATCCATCTGGCACCTGGTGATGTTTTTGCCTGTCTATGCGTTGTTTAGCTCTGTTGTTGGTGTCTTGAGACTGTCTAGTTCTGATTCGGTGTCTTCAGACTGTCTAGCTCTGTTGTCGGTATCTTGAGACTGTCTAGATCAGTTGTCGGTGTCTTTCTAGAGGGTGCGTCCTATCCATTTCCATTTTCTTTCCAGGATTTGTTTCTCTATTGTTTTCTGTCCACACATCTCCCACAACTTGATGTTTTCTGCCCCCACATCTCACACAGTTTTGTTTTTAACCTTATTATACTATCATATTTTCAATATTTTTTCAGGCATCTGTTGATGAAGGTCAGGATTATGTATGTTCTGTTTTTCTCCTTGTTTCAGGCCCGTACAATAGGATTCCTTTCATATTTGAGTCAAAAATTCTTTTTTTTTTTGTTTTGGTAGAGATGTAGTATGATTTTCAGACTTGTGGGCAAATGTCTGCCGTGGTAAATTTATTCGGCGTTTGATGTTTTCGTCAGCTCCCCAAGACACATTGACCACACTCCCAAAGGCAGGCTACGTGACGCTTTCTACTTGAGTTATGTTTCGGTTCTTTAGTTTTATGTCACCATCTTGTAGTTTTATGTCACCATCTTGTAGTTTTATGTCATCATCTTGTAGTTTTATGTCACCATCTTGTAGTTTTATGTCACCATCTTGTAGTTTTATGTCACCATCTTGTAGTTTTATGTCACCATCTTGTAGTTTTATGTCACCATCTTGTAGTTTTATGTCACCATCTTGTAGTTTTATGTCATCATCTTGTAGTTTTATGTCATCATCTTGTAGTTTTATGTCACCATCTTGTAGTTTTATGTCACCATCTTGTAGTTTTATGTCACCATCTTGCAGTTTTGTGTCATCATCTTGTAGTTTTATGTCACCATCTTGTAGTTTTATGTCACCATCTTGTAGTTTTATGTCACCATCTTGTAGTTTTATGTCACCATCTTGTAGTTTTATGTCACCATCTTGTAGTTTTATGTCACCATCTTGTAGTTTTATGTCACCATCTTGTAGTTTTATGTCACCATCTTGTAGTTTTATGTCACCATTTTGTAGTTTTATGTCACCAACTTGTAGTTTTAAGTCATCATCTTGTAGTTTTATGTCATCATCTTGTAGTTTTATGTCACCATCTTGTAGTTTTATGTCACCATCTTGTAGTTTTATGTCACCATCTTGTAGTTTTATGTCACCATCTTGTAGTTTTATGTCACCATCTTGTTTGTGGTTTATTTTGATAGTATTTTTGTTGTTGATGATGTATTTTTATCCCCCCCCCCCGCCCCCCACATTAGTTTTCCAGACTCTTTCAAAGATGTGCTTTTCTCTTACATGTCTTGTAGTCTGTGAAATAGTAGGACAAATTATTGTCTGCATATTTCAAGTCTTCTAATTTGTGTGTAAGAGTCAACTATATCCCTTTTCCTGAATTGTATAAGCTTCTCGTATGTCCTAGCCTAGCCTTGGGAGAAACAGGAGTGGCGAAATAAGACATACATGCTTAACTTCAGTTGTAAATTGAAATTCACCGGACAGTCTGCATTATAAAGTCTATCATAATACATTATTTAATGTATAAAAAAAAATGTTCGAACACTCCTTTGGGCCCCCCCCCCCCTTTCAAGTAGGAGCCCGTGGGGACTTTCGAATTTGGACCCCCCTCCCCTCCCCTAGCTACGCCACTGTTGTGGGTGATATGTTAAAAATTAAAGCATCCAATCTTGAATATTTGAATTTACACCTAAAGTTAAAGTCATCATAATGGTTTTTGATGATGGTTATTACTTTTGTTGGGATTTAAAAATGACAAGATAGTTTCGCTGTCAGTGCTGTCTAAAGCCGTTTCGAAGTCTACAAATGTGGGACAGAGATTGCCACTCTACTCATTGCTCTTATGGTGACGTCTTTTGAAACTTTTGTATGATATTCTTGTTTGGTTGGTAGTTTGTCTTATTGTTTTGGCTTGGTTTATTGTTTGCTTCGCATTTTTCTATCTCCGATTGTTTACCACGTATCGTCACTAATCCAATATTTTAAAAAAAGTTTTAAAAATAATTAAATTGGAGTGTGTGTATGGGGAGAGGGGGGGGGTGGCGACAGGACACAATACTTGGAGGTTTAACGCTCCTATAATAGTTTCTTGGAAGCTATCCCAATTTTCATCCAGTTGCAGCGCAGCGAATCGATTTTGAAGGTTAGCTGCAAGTCATGTTTTGTCTGTGTGCTTTGTAGTTGATCTCGGTCAAATCGGGTTTTCTTGTTCGTTTTTTGGTCTGTGGTTTGCCAACTTTATTTTTAGCTTGGTCTGACTCAATATTTGTCCCATCTTCTTGTTTGTACGTCTTGTTATGTGCATATAGTATGTCAATTTGGTTCCCTATTTTATCGCATGGCGAGACCCATGTCACTTTGGTTCTCTATTTTATCGCATGGAGAGACCCATGTCACTCTGGTTCTCTGTTTTATCGTCTGGAGAGACCCATGTCACTCTGGTTCTCTGTTATATCGTCTGGAGAGATCCACGTCACTCTGGTTCTCTGTTTTATCGTCCGGAGAGACCCACGTGACCTTGTGGCATTTCTTTTGTTTTGGAAGGTGCAGCCTCCTATCACCAGTTCATGACGTCACTAAAAGTTGTTGTTTCTGGAACTTCTGAGATCCCCTTGTCCAACACTGTCAGAGACCTTGGCTTCTGAGATCCCCTTGTCCAACACTGTCAGAGACCTTGGCTTCTGAGATCCCTTTATCCAACACTGTCAGAGACGTTTGCTTCTGAGATCCCCTTATCCAACACTGTCAGAGACCTTGGCTTCTGAGATCCCCTTATCCAACACTGTCAGAGACCTTGGCTTCTGAGATCCCCTTGTCCAACACTGTCAGAGACCTTGGCTTCTGAGATCCCCTTGTCCAACACTGTCAGAGACCTTGGCTTCTGAGATCCCCTTATCCAACACTGTCAGAGAACTTGGCTTCTACACTGACAGCGAACTTACAATGATCCCTCATATCAGTTCTGTGGTCAGGGTATGTTTCTGTCACCTACGCTCCCTACTTAATAAGAGAACAGCCAATGCCGTGGCAGTCACTCGAATCCAATCAAGATTATATTACTGTAACAGTTGTTTGTGGGGTTTATCTCTGTGGGTTTTACCTCAAAACCAAATTCAGAGACTCCAAAAGGTATAAAATACTTCAGCACGCATTGTATCGCGTATAAAGAAATATGACCACATCACCCCAGTCCTTAAAGACCTCCATTGGCTTCCTGTGAGTGAGCGCTTTGACCACAACATTCTGTGCCAGGCGTATAGTGTGAGTGAGCGCATTGACCACAACATTCTGTGCCAGGCGTACAGTGTGAGTGAGCGCATTAATCACAAAATTCTGTCCCTGGCGTACAGCTGTATTGAAGACTCTGCACCTGAATATCTTAAAGAACTGATTTCTAAACACGTATCCTTAAAGAAACTGCGCTCTTCAACACAGTACATACTGAGAGTTCCCAGTGTGGCTGGACACAGAAAGAAGTCATACGGAGTGCTTTCTTTTGAAGCTATAGCGACAACATTATGGAACAGTTTGACTCAATCTTTGAGGGAAATTGAAAATGATTTTGTTAAAAATCATTTCAGAAACGTTTAAAGACTTTTTTTCTTAAAATATATTTAATAACATCAGAGTGCTGGGAGCGTGTTAGAATAGCATGGATACAAGCGCTATAAAAGTATTCAATCGATCAATCAAAGTCGGCAAACATCTCTCTACTTTCATTTATGTTGACCAGTTATGTTCCCATGTTGACCAGTCCATGTGTTCCCATGTTGACTAGTCCATGTGTGCCCATGTTGACCATGCAGTTAATGTTTTCCCATGTTGACCAGTCCATGTGTGCCCATTTTGACCAGTCCATGTGTGCCCATGTTGACCAGTCCATGCGTGCCCATGTTGACCAGTCCATGTGTGCCCAAGTTGACCATGCAGTCCATGTGTTCCCATGTTGTCCATGCAATCCATGTGTTCCCATGTTGACCAGTCCATTTGTGCCCATGTTGACCAGTCCATGTGTGCCCATGTTGACCAGTCCATGTGTGCCCATGTTGACCAGTCCATGTGTTCCCATGTTGACCAGTCCATGTGTGCCCATGTTGACCATGCAGTCCATGTGTTCCCATGTTGACCATGCAGTCTATGTTTTCCCATGTTGATCAGTCCATGTGCGTGCCCATTTTGACCAGTCCATGTGTGCCCATGTTGACCAGTCCATGCGTGCCCATGTTGACCAGTCCATGTGTGCCCAAGTTGACCATGCAGTCCATGTGTTCCCATGTTGTCCATGCAATCCAT